GGAACGGGAGGAGCGTGAAGCAATGGTTCGATTGTTGAGGAGTGTGTTCCGCTCCTTTCGGGTACCCGTTGTAATCAGCGCCACCAACGGGACTGCACGACGCATTTTTTTTTTGGAGAAAGATCCCGAGTTACATCGAGTTTTGAGGATAGAACCCCTTGGTGTGTTGTGGTTCCGTCACTTCCTGCATTCGTCTTAAATGAAGATGGCGTCGCAATCACTTCGGATTCGGTCGGAACACGCAGGACCGGCACTATACCTGCTGGACTCTTTTGGATCGTCAAACACAGCCGGCCACTTTTCGCGAGGGAAGTGTGGGAATACATGAGCCGGCACCGTGACTATGGCGAGACTCCGGAGGACTGGCTTCATTACTTGAGCGATATGACGAAGTACTTGGCACCGCATATCCGAAGCCTCAAAGCCCGCATTCGGTCTGTCGAGTCTGAGCTTGGACAAGTCAGCATGTTTCTCGGGTCCACCTGCAGCGTGGACAACAGCTATGCTAATCTGGTCGACGGCCACTTTGCATGCCTTAGCGAGTCGAAACCCTTTGAGCTCGATTTGGGTAGTGGAGACATACTGTTTCAAGGCGACAACCAGTGGACAGCTCGCTGTCAGCTCCCGCCGCCGGAGAGGGATATATTGCTGCATCTGACTCTGATGGGAGACCACGATAAGATATTCGATGACTCTGGCGAGGACGAGGAGGGGGACGGGATGTTGCGGCCACTGAAATGTTCACTGTACCATTCGCTGCAAGACAACTTTTTCCGAGGTACAGACCTCCGCGGTATGCAAGAGCTAAATAGCGGTAGGGCGCTCGAAAGTCTTGTTGCCGGCGCAGTCGTTCTTGCAAGCCATCGCGAGAAATTTTGCGGGGTGAAATTCCCAGCGTTCTTATTTTCGTAGAGCAGTCTGCCTAAGAAGGCAGACTGCTCTACGAATTGGGCGTGGTGGACAAAATTGACGCGGAGGTTGATATTCCATCAAACCATGCCAAGAACACGAGCACGATCCCGTTTCTGTCGGCGCCTAACACAGAGTGGCCGAGTTCGTTTCTGGATGCGTGGCGGGGTAGTGGTGCCCAGTTCGCCAACCTGTGTCGTGTTGCTGATTCTGAGCGGATTGATTTTAGATTCGTCTCAAGTGAATGCGGGCTTTCTGGCGAGTGCAAGGATCGCAAGGGCAGTTTAGACGTGCGAACTCTCATAAGTGTTCTTGATCGTGTTCCGAGTTCTTCTTCGATCCACTTGGTGGTGGTGAGAAAGTTACACGATACGTACTTCGGCAACCTTGGCGACCCGGCGGTTCCATCGAATGCTTTGGTAAGTGCTAACCTGCAGTACGCCGACTTTTTCCGCATTTCGAAAGAAGACGGCGAGCTTGTGGAGTTCGTGGAGCTCATGGCAGCCAAGTCGACGACGATCATCTCCGACAAGGAGAAAAGTGAGAAGGGGGGAGGCAAACTCATTTTGTTTATTGAGATCGGGGATTGGGATAAGGCAGAGTAGCATAAGAGATCCGTAGTGGAGATGCCTGAATCCCTGAAAAAGAAGCAAAGGTTAGCGAAGCAGTAAAAACGAGTTTTACTTCAGATATGGCCAGTTTGCTCGGTTTAAGAGAGCTGTTTCAGTTTTTTAAAGAATAGATCAGATAACACTTTTTAAAAGTGTCATTAAAATGGCTACATGTTCATACAATGGTTGGTACTGTACAAGAATATTTAACGGGGTAAGAAAACTTCAAAACGACGACTTCAACTTGACCACTTCTCAGATTCTAGAATCAGACTGACTCAGATTTGTATATACCTGACTCGATCATTTCCATTGTAGCAACCAACGCAATGCGTCAATATGACTCGTCCCCTAGCAGCCTCGTGGACGCCGCCACGTGCGTGTGGAATCAGTACTACCCAGAGGACCACAACATCGGCACCCGGCAGCCGGGCGAGACCCGCTCGGCGCAGTATTACAGCCCCATTAGCGACACGGACGGCCGCTTCCAGGCCGCCATGACCTTCCTCAACTGCTTCCGGGACGGCGAACAGTGGGCGCCGCTGCTGCAAGTAATGCAACCCCAGTATTACTATAACCTTGTAATTTATTGTACTAATATATTAAATTGCCAGTGCGACTTGACGCAGCCGAACGTGACGGTGGTGTGGCTCCACTACGCGGAGCTCATTCGCACGGGCACGGCGGACTTTGAGCGCGCGCTGACCGAGAACATCGAGGACGTGCTGCTGTGTCTGGGTATTGCACTGTGTATGCGACGTCACGAGCTGCGCGTGGAGGCGGAGGAGGATATCACCAGGAAACGCAGTGTGCCGGTGGACCGAACCAAGATCACGGTTCGACTGCATGGAGTGACGCCCGTGCTGCCCATTGCAGCACTGAAAGCGGACGTGGTGAACCAGTTCGTGAGCGTCGTGGGGACAGTGGTGAGAGTCAGTGCCATTAAGCCGCTGGTCACGAGGTGCGACTTCGTGTGCGCCAAGTGCAACGAAGCCACGTCGCGAGCCTTCCCGGATGGAAAGTTTGTTCCGCCACAGAGGTGCGAGAACTCGCCGTGTCGAGGGAGGACGTTGCTGCCGAACCGATCGTCGGTGGATACGGTCGACTACCAGAAGATCAAGTGAGTACTATTTTGTAGTAGCAGTTGATGTTTTATTATTTGACGAGATTTCTGCGTTGTTAGGCTCCAGGAGATGGAAACCACGGACGTTGGACCCGGGCGCATGCCCAGAATGGTGCGTTTTCGGTTGTCTGGCCCTGGGGTTGCTGGTTGAATTGGGCTAATGGAGCTACATGGTGCGTAGATTGAGGTGGAACTGTATGAAGATCTCGTTGACTCCTGTATTCCTGGCAACGTGGTGACGATCTCCGGCGTCGTGAAGAGCATCAACTCGGAAATCCACGAAGGAAGATACGGCAAGCGTGCACAGGCAAACAGCTTGTATATTCTGTACATCTGCGCCAACTCGGTTGAAAACTCGGCCAAGGTGAGTGCTGGTACTTGTCTGCTGCCCAGGTGCTCCTCCTGCTGATCCTGTGGTGTGTCTGCTGTCGTTTGCGTCCATTCCTGCAGGTTGATAAAGATAAGGACAAGGACAAGGCATCGGATATCGACTTCACGAAGGAGGACCTGGAGCAGATCAGCAACATTATCAATCAGGGCAACGTGTTCGACCACCTCGTTCACTCTCTTTGTCCCGGAATTTACCGCAACGATATCGTAAAAGCGGGCCTGATCCTGGCACTACTCGGAGGAACGCGGAATACGGACGATAAAGACACCACGTGCGTACGAAGAGCGGACTCTCATGTGCTGGTCGTTGGAGATCCTGGTTTGGGTAAGAGCCAAATGCTTCGAGCTGTGTCTATGGTCGCCCCACGAGCAGTGTACGTCGGAGGAAATACCACCACCACGACTGGATTAACGGTCACTATGGTGAAGGATGGATCCGGCGACTACGCGCTAGAAGCTGGCGCCCTCGTTCTCGCGGACCAGGGTGTATGCTGCATTGATGAGTTCGACAAAATGGGCATCGACTACCAGGCGCTGCTGGAAGCAATGGAGCAGCAGAGTATCAGCATTGCCAAGGCTGGCATCGTGTGCAATCTGAACGCGAGGACGTCAGTCATCGCAGCAGCCAACCCTAGTGGTGGACACTACGACCGCAGTCGCTCAGTTGGGGAGAATCTTAAGATGAAAGCCGCGTTGCTTTCCCGTTTCGACCTCGTCTTTATTCTGCTTGACCGACCGGACGAAGAGCGCGATCGACTCCTGTCGGAACACGTGATGAACTCGCACGCGCGCGGTAGGCGGAAGTCAAGAAAACGCGCGAGAGACAGCAGCGCGCCGATGGGCTCCTGGAGCTCCAGCAGCTACGCGGATGAACCGCCAGCTAGTGGCTACGAAGAGGCTCCGCCCTCGGATCACCAGTTGCTGTCACACCGTCTTCGTCAGAATGCGGCCGAGTACACCATGAGTCCAATCCCGCTCTACTTCGTGCGCAAGTTCATCGCCTACGCGCGTCGATACGTGCACCCGCGACTATCGTCCGAGGCCGCCGCAGTGCTACAGAAGAAGTATCTGGAGCTTCGTTCCGCCGGTGAAGGCCAACAGAACCCGACCGACAGTATCCCGATCACAACGCGTCAGCTAGAGTCGCTGATCCGCCTCTCACAAGCCCGCGCCCGAGCCGAGCTGGCCGAAACCGTCTCTGCCGAGCACGCGCAAGACGTGGTCGACATCATGCAGGAGTGTCTGCTGGACACTCTGACCACGGAGGACGGGAACCTGGACTTCGGCCGCAGCGGGGGCATGAGTCTGGCCAAGAAGGTGAAGGCGTACGTGGCGCGGCTCATGAAAGCCGCGGCCAGACGCAACACGTCGCTGTTCACCATGGACGATCTGCTCGAAGTAGCCGACAGTATGGGGCTCAAGGTGGACGACTTCCGGGACTTCGTGGACATCCTCCGCAACGAGTGCTACCTGCTGAAGAAAGGCCCCGGGCAATTCAAAGTGCAGGTGTCCTCGTACAACATGATGTGAGGCACTACGTATAGTGAGGGAGTCACAGGTATATTCCCATCTCGGGGAGGTCCGAATAACAAGCTGAAGGGAGGGCGCTCTACTGTGCATGAGTGGGGTCGCTCTACTTGATGTTGAGCTTCTCGCGACGGGCCTTGGTCTCCTGGTCCACGATGTCCTGCGGTCTCTCGGAGGAGAAGAGGTCGTGGCCGGCCTTTTGCTCTGCAGTACAGGGTGCAAGCAAGGAGGAGTCAGTACCAACAACACAGAGAGAGAGACCATAGAGGGCTATGGATCGGCGACGCGTACGCTTGCGGATGACGGGGTACGCGCAGATGGCGAGGCAGATGGAGGTGCCGACGAACACCTTGCCGCCCTGGCCCAGCGGCAGCTTCTCGAGGAACGTGAGCAGCATCTCGGTGACTAGCTTGGAAGCTTTCTGTCCGCTGCTTTGTAGCGACTGTCGTGACCGATCGGTTTCGACGGGGTTCTTCTGACTTCCTGGAAGAACTGTTTTGTATACGGGGTAGTCACAGAGCGAGCGTGACCCGAAAAAACGTTCTTTTTTCGGAGTGGTCACGCTACTGCCTGGAAGTCTCTAATGTGCTTCGGAGTAGTCATTTGTGGATTTGGCTACACCTGGTTGAAGTGGACACCCAATCAAAGCTTTGGGATGACTTTCATCGCAGTGAACGCATTCACTTGTGTCGACTAATGGTCCATGTGCCAGACGCACGATTGCTGGAACGCGCGGCCACGTAGCATTTCCGCCATTCCCCGTCTCCAGCAGCGGCGCCCATCAGGGCGGACCGTGCTGCATGACGCTTGGTACGGGGCGTGCCGGTGATGCTGGCCCAGCCCCGAGTCCAAGATCAACTTCGACTTCATGTATCTACCGAAGGTAACGTTGCTGCAATGCTGACGAGGCGCGAATGCGCTGAAGACAGCAGCAGCCAACTACCAGTAGTGCACTAAGGACTTTTAACAAAACCAAGTTGTAGACGAACAACATTCGAATCAAACCAAGAGAAGCGCGCCGCGAATGTACACTCAAACTGTGCACTTCCTGGCTGTGTCGTACTCGCCACCAGTAAGCCATTTAAATACCAATTGCGCCCCCCCCATACTTATGCAGTACTTAAGTAACCCAACAGATCCACCTGCTGCCTGTTAACCACGCACACGAAAACACACAACCAACGCAACTCGTGTTGAACAAGCTTCCTTACCTGCGCTGGCAGCAAAATGCCAGCAGAGCTCCTCGCACGGCATCACGCTTGAAAATCGCCGCCACGCCGGCGTGCAGCCGCTGCGTTGCAGCGCGAAGAAAGTGCCGTGAGCAACAACCCGACGCCGCCGGGCGTCAACGACAGCATGCGCAGTGCTTCCGTCCTCTCCGCGCTCGCGTCGACCGAAGCTTAGCTCCTCGATGAGCGCTGCGCACTGGAATTTCTTCCTCCTCCTTCTCCCCTCCCTCATTCCCTGCGCGACAAACTTTATTTTCTCGCGCTTACGCCACGCCGGTGCAGTTGAGGCCGGTGGCGGCAAAAGGAACTCACACTGTGTAAGTGCAAGTCCGCCCTTGCCAGTGCACTGCAACCTGTGCCGTCATCACCCCACGTTGGACAAGCGTCAAGCTGAACCCGAATCCTGCGACATGCGTTTGTCGCCCCTGAGAACGCATAAAAGACCTCCCAAACCCAATACATCGAGGGAGGAAGCGCCGCGCCAAGTCAGGACACAAGAAGAAGCGCGACATCGGACCGAGCTACGAGCCGCCCGACCCGACGCGACCGACCGGCATGGAGGGCGCGCGCCAAGGCCTGTTCTCGCCCACGAACGCCGACGGCTTGGGCCCCGCTGCAGCTGCTGCGGCGGCCGCAGCGACGCCCACGACGTCGCGCACGCGCGCGTCGCTCAGCAGCAAGCTCAGCCTGGCGCCCGACGACGCGTTCGCGCGCGAGCCCGAGTGCGGCGTGTGCGCCAAGTCGTTCAACATCCTGCGGCGCCGCCACCACTGCCGCAGCTGCCACATCGCCGTGTGCAAGGAGTGCGGGCGCAAGGCCATCGACCGCAAGAAGCCCGAGCGCTCGCGGCCGCAGTGGTACTGCATGGGCTGCCTCGAGGACGACGCCACGCTCGAGATCACGGGCTCGCGCCCCACGGTGAGCAAGCGCCGCAGCTTCTCGTCGTCGTCATCGTCCTTCGCGCCCGCGAGCGCGCCCCAAGTCACGAATGTGAGTGCTGGAAGACTCAAGTTGAAGTGGACTGGACCAGGTGTTTTGGCCTATTGACTAACTGTTTTATTGACTGACTGATGGGCATGACAGTTGGCGAGCACGGCCAAGTTCTGCATTGAGTGCGGCTACGAGCTGCCGCCGCGCGTCAAGTTCTGCATCGAGTGCGGCACCTCGGTGCGTCAGCAGCTCATGTCGCCCGTGAGCGTGGACGGCGTGGGCGCTGCAGACGGGGAGCGCGGCAATCGAGGCTACCGCGACTCGCTGACCACGAACCTCATGGTGATTGACGAGAACAGCGGCTCGCCCACGGAGCCCACGGACGGATCGGAGGATGACGCGCCGGCGGAACAGGAATCGGAGGACGACGCGCCCGTGAAGAAGAAAGTGGACGTGGGGCTGGAGACTCCCGAAGGAGATGAGGACGCTGCAGCCAGGGCGAAGGAGGTCGAGGAGCTCGTGGCACAGCTGCAGGTGGAGAACGAGAAGCTGCGGAACCGTGTGGAGAAGTTCAAGCGAAAGATTTCGGAGGCGGAGCGGCGGAGGCTCGAAAGAGAAGAGGAGCACGCGCGCGCAGTGTCGGAGGCTACTGCAGCAGCGGCCGCCGCTGCAACTGCTGCCGCTGAAGCGCAGGCGAACAACCGCAGTGCGTCTGAAGCGGCACCTCAAGCAGCATCTGCGCCATTCGCAGCGGTAGCGGCACCTACTAGCAACGGCACGGGTGTTGCTGCAAAGGATCACCCGGATTACTTGAAGTACTTCAAGTTGGTGACCATGGGGCTCCCGGCTGAACAGGTGAAGATGAAAATGCAGGCGGCTGGCGTAGACCCGTCGATCCTTGATGACCCGGATGCGATCATCGGCGGTGCTGCTCCAAATGCAGATACTACGTCGGCTCCGCCTGGAGCGACAGGTGGTACCCTGGTGAAGGACGACGAGCAGTACGCCAAGTTTTTCAAGCTTCTGAAGATGGGAATGCCGGCTGAACAGATCAAGCTGAAAATGAGCGCGAGTGGCCTGAACCCCGATCTCCTCGACACGCCAAATGCTCCGATGCCCGGATCTGGTGCGGCAGCAGCTCCAGCAGCGGCAGCCAACCAGGTGATGACTGTGAAGGAAGACCCGGCTTACGAAAAATTCTTCAAGCTGGTGAAGATGGGTATGCCCGCCGAGCAGGTCAAAATGAAGATGAGCGCGGCAGGTTTGAATACCGACTTGCTGGATACGCCAGACGCGCCGTCACCCAACCAGAAGGCGGCTGGAGGCAATGGAGGCGGCGGTCTCCTTGCTGGGCTTCCTCCTCCGACAGAAGCGGTGAAGGTGGACCCATCGGCGTTGAAGGCGAGCTTAGCCTCAAAGTTGAACAAGCCAATCCCGAAGAAACCCGAGGAGCCTCAGCTTCCTAAGAAGGAAACGGTAAAGCCGAACGTCGAGCTGCGCCCGTTGTTCTGGACTCGTGTGCCTGTCAATGTAGTCAGTAGCACCGTCTGGATGAAGCTGAATGACTCACATGCGGAGCTGGACGTGGATGAGATGGAATGGATGTTCCGCAAGAACCCGGTTGAAGCATCGAAGAAGATGGATGAAAAGAAGAAAGAAGCGGAAAAGGTACCGGCCCAGCCCAAGGAAGTGCTCCTGTTCGATCCAAAGAGACAGCAGAATGTATCGATCGCCATTGCTCGGTTTAAAATGTCGTCGGAGGATATCAAGAATGCTATCTACGCTTTGGACGGCCAGAAGCTGGGGTCTGAAGTGTTGAACGTGCTGATTTCGATTTCACCCACCCTGGAGGAGATTGATATGCTCAAAAATTACGATGGAGACGTCAAGCTGCTAGGAAACGTGGAGAAGTTTTTCCTTGACCTGCTGACAATCCCGCGCTACACGCAGCGTATCAAGTGCTTCAGGTACAAGCTACAGTTCGAAAATCGTATTCTGGAAACTCAAGCGCAGTTGGACACGCTGGTCGCTGCTACTGATCAAGTGACAGAGAGCGACAAATTCCGCCGTGTTCTGGAGCACATTCTGGCGATCGGTAATTATTTGAACGGCAGCACGCCTCGTGGTGGTGCCTATGGTTTTAAGCTGGACACTCTGATGAAGCTGCACACTCTTAAGTCTGTGGACCCTCGTGTCACCTTGATGCACTTCTTGCTGCGCCAGCTCGAAGAGAAGGCCCCGGATGTCATTACTTTCGCAGGAGAAGTACCACACATTGTCGAGGCGAAGAGATTGTCTCTTGACCAGCTCCGCGCGGATCTTTCTTCTTACAATACCGAGCTAGCCATGCTGAAGGGCCAAGTGCGCGCGTCAAAGAACGATCACATTGAGGGTGACAAGTTCTATGAAGTGATGACTCCGTTTGCGAAGGACGCGGAGGAGGTGCTGGAGGAACTGGGACGCGACTTTAATGGGCTGGAGACTTCGTATCAAGAGCTAGTTAGCTCGTTTGGCGAGGATCCACGCAAGGTTGGGCCCATGGAGTTCTTTTCTATTCTGGATGAGTTTGTCACCGAGTTCAAGAAGGCTTACCGTCAGAATCAGACTAAGGAATACCAGACTATATATGAAGAAGCTGCCGCGGCTCGCGCTGCTGCTGAGGCTGAAAAGGCCGAGCAGCTCAAGCGGGAAGCTGAAGAACGCCAGCGCCAGGAAGAGGAACGGCAGCAAAACTCGCTCGAAACCAAGGCGATTTATGCTGAAATTATGGCTATCATCACCGCTTGGGCTGAAAAGCATTCGCCAGGCAACGAGGAGGCAGTGATTGAGCAGTTCAAGGACGTCTCGCGGAGATTTGGCATGGACGAAATTACCGCTGATGAGTTCTGTGACCAGGTGCGGCAGTGTGTCGGGTCGAAGTGTGCAGGCAAAATTATTCTGAACAGCGCGAAACTTTTGTCCGACGAAGCAAAGCGGAATATTCTGTTGGAGGCACTCGCTCGCTTCAAGGAGCAGGTGAAGAAGGAGAAAGAGTCCAAGAAACAACAGCGCAACTCGCTAGTATCCCCGCCGTCCGAAGGACGAGAGAGGGCTGGGTCTTCTTCAGCAGGTCGCAAGCGCAACAAGGTGGTAGTCCCGCTGCCCATCAAGGACATCGAACCCGTGGTCGGCGAGGAGGCCCAGCTGCTGCACAAATCTATCCTGGAATCCGTGTTGGCGGCATTTGGCGGCGATCCGAAGAAGATGAAGTCGTTCACATCTCACACGCGGAAGTACGGCAACGAGCAGATCACGGCGCACGAATTTTACCAGTATTTAACGGACTCCTTCGAGCCAGACTTCGTCGGACGTCTGGTGCCGGACCTCGCGCGTCTGCTGCAGGATTCGGAAAAGCGGCACGCTCTCATCCGCGCACTATGTGAGAGCGCACCAGGCTGGGCAAGGTTTGCGGGGTTATAGAATGGTACCTCCGGCAGCGTCGGACACTGGTTACAAGAGGCAGAAATATTGGTATTGTCCCGGTATCGCTCGTGATCCAGCGTGATTGGTATGAATTGGAGGCGTTTGGGGCTCCACGTTTTTATAAGGTTAATGGTGGAGTCAATTCAATGAGTTGGTAAGATTGATTCGAATTACACGATACTAGGCTCGAAGGCTGCCGGAGCTGGCCTGCGGCACGAGCGGGAAGTCGCTGTAGTGCTTGGGTCTGCGCACAGCCGGGTCCGGCAGCGCAGTGCCTTTTTCCTGCTTGGCGCGCCACAGATCCTGCTGATCCTTGAGGCCGCGCACCCAGCGCTTCATGTCTCCCTTGCTCTCGGCGCGCAGGAAGTAGCTGCGCTCCGGCGTCTTAACGACGAAGCTGTAGACGCCGTGGTCGCCGTTCTCGAACCGCCGGATGGACTCGATGGCCAGCAGATCGATGACCTTGGAGGCCTCCGGCGAGTTCTCGTGCTGGTAATACTTGAGCTTCTTGCCTTCCAGGGCGAAGAAGCGCTTGTTCCACTGCGGCGTGAGAAGCCGCTCCTTGGCCTTCATCTTGAACAGGTAGCCGCTGATGGGGACGGGGCCGCGCTCAGCTGGAGTCTTCATGCTCGCCGTGGCTTCGTCGTCGGTGTGGCGGGCTGCCGCTGAGAAGGTTTGTAGCAAAATGCCAGCTGCAATGGCATGGCGAACGTTGAAGGGGACGACCTCGAGGTCTTATCGCGTGCTGATTGGCGGAGCATGTTGAAGTGGTTGAAGTCCGCATTTACTGTTAGAAGCTCTAAATCCAGAACGTTCTATTTTAGTGTGCACATGAAATGGACACAAGTTTGATGTGGCACAGAGTACAGCGGATACGTCAGTCTCAGACCGGCGAGCATCGATGCAAGTGCTGCACGCGCTGCTGCATATCCTGGCGTTGATTGCACCACTGCTATCGGTTCTTGCGGCACCGAACATGGCAGATACTCACCGACCATTGACGCTGCGCGTGGAATTGCAGCAGCAGCTCGGACTGCCGGGGACTCTGCAGGCGCCACTCACACTGCGACTGCCAGAGCATCCAGCATCGGTGTCAGAGCTAGACGCCGTGCTTCGACAGCAGTTCACAGAGCATTTAGCAACCGCTGAAGATGGGTATCAAGCAGCGAAGGAACTGGAGATGGCAGTTGAGGTTTACGACCAAAAGACACAGCAGTTCACTCCACTGGAAGAGATCTCGCAGCTCGGACGCCGGTCAAGATTGAGCGTGACGCTCACCAACGCCGATGAGCTCTTCCCTGGCCACACTTGTCTAGCATTACCCTCAAGGATCTTTGGGCTTGATGTGGCGGAGGGCGACCAGTTTGCTATCGACGGGAGGGTGGTGCATATCGGCGAGGTGGGAAACTCAGGCAAGGGCACGGGGTTGACGACGTGGGACGGATCCGTTGTGCTAGCCAGGTACCTGGAGCATCAGCGGCGTGGTGACATTGCAGGAAGTCGTATTGTGGAGCTGGGCGCTGGAACGGGGCTGGTGGGCATCTCTGCTGCACTGCTAGGGGCACGACAGGTTATTCTCACAGACCTCGACTACGTTGTCGACAACCTCGCCAAGAATGTCGCCGAGACGATGAAACTCGCTGCAAACGCAGGCAAACCCGTCGACAGCGACATCTCCACGCGTGTGTTGGACTGGTTCAATCCGCCAACGGACTTGGGCGATATCGACTTCCTGTTGGCGTCGGACGTTGTGTGGGTCGAGGAGCTCATTCCACCGCTGGTGGCGACCTTCGATACGCTGCTGCGCCACTCAAGTATTAAGACCCGCATCCTCATGTCGTACCAGAAGCGCAGCATTGTGTCGGACCGCCTGCTCTTCAGCGAGCTGGAGCGCCACCACCTCGTCAAGACGCGCGTCCCAGCTGCGAGTCTGCACCCGCAGTTTTCCACGGACCGGATCGACGTCTGGGAGATTGAGCGGGGAACCGAAGAGCGAAGCGACTAGAAGGCCCTGGTCGAATCGCGCAGGAAGCTGAGCAGCAGGACAACAAAGCCGATGCTGTGCTGCAACAACTGCAACCGTAAACCTGTGCATCGTTCGGGCCGTCTAATCAATCCGCCAGCCATTGGTGCAAAATGACCGTGACAACACGCGCATCGCAGCTTCAATCCAAGCACGCATTAACTTTGTCCACCGCACATACTTCATCTGGTACAATTAAGAAATGCTAAGTTAGTGAGTGGTATCCCTGTATTGCCGCCGATCTTGCTCATTCCCGCATTCGCTTCCGCCCCGCCACCCACAAGATGCTCGGCTTCCTGCGCGTCCCCGCCCGCCGCGCGGCTCTCATGTCGCGCCGCCACGCCTCGAGCGAGAGCCTGCAGTGGGCCGCCGCCATGAACAAGCCGCTGGCCGAGTCGGACCCGGCGCTCTTCGACATCATCGAGCGCGAGAAGCAGCGCCAGCGCGACTGCATCAGCCTCATCGCGTCCGAGAACTGCACGTCCGTGGCCGTGCTGGACGCGCTGGGCTCCGTCATGTCCAACAAGTACTCGGAGGGCTACCCGGGCCAGCGCTACTACGGCGGCAACCAGATCATCGACGAGGCCGAGGAGCTCTGCCGCGCGCGCGCGCTCGAGGTCTTCAACCTTGACCCGGAGCAGTGGGGAGTCAACGTGCAGTCGCTGTCCGGCTCGCCCGCCAACTTCCAGGTGTACACGGCGCTGCTGGCGCCGCACGACCGCATCATGGCGCTGGACCTGCCGCACGGCGGCCACCTGTCGCACGGCTACCAGCTCGGCCGCAAGAAGATCTCGGCTACGTCCATCTTCTTCGAGAGCATGCCCTACCGCCTGGACGAGAGCACGGGGCTCATCGACTACGACGGCCTCGAGAAGTCGGCCGCGCTCTTCCGCCCCAGGCTCATCGTGGCCGGTACCAGCGCCTACTCGCGCCACATCGACTACGCGCGCATGCGCGAGATCTGTGACCAGCAGGACGCCGTGTTGCTCGCCGACATGGCGCACATCAGCGGCCTGGTGGCGGCGGGCGTCGTGCCCTCGCCCTTCGAGTACGCCGACGTGGTGACCACGACGACGCACAAGTCGCTGCGCGGCCCGCGTGGCGCCATGATCTTCTACCGCAAGGGCGTGCACCACGTGGACAAGAAGAGCGGCAAGGAGGTCATGTACGACCTGCAGCAGAAGATCGACTTCGCCGTATTCCCCGGCCTCCAGGGCGGACCGCACAACCACACCATCGCGGCGCTCAGCACGGCGCTGCTCCAGGCGCAGAGCCCGGAGTTCAAGGCCTACCAGACGCAGGTGATCAACAACTCGCGCGCGTTGGCGGGTGAGCTCATGGAGCGTGGCTACGAGATCATCTCCAACGGCACGGACAACCACCTGGCTCTGGTGGACGTGAAGAAGTCGCGCGGCGTGGACGGCGCCCGCGTGGAGTTTGTGCTCGAGAGCGCCAACATGGTTGTGAACAAGAACACAGTGCCCAGCGACAAGAGCGCCTTCGTGCCCGGCGGCATTCGTCTGGGCGCCCCCGCCCTGACGACGCGCGGTTGCACAGAGGAGGACTTCAAGCAGGTGGCTGCCTTCATTGACAACGGTGTGAAGCTCACGGCTGAGCTGAACGAGCGCGCTCGCGCGCAGGGCATGAAGAAGGTGAAGGACTTCAAGGACTTCGTCGCTGCCGACGCCGAGGCGAAGGGCCAGGTGGACGCGCTCAAGGCCGACGTGACTGCGTTTGTGCGTCAGTTCCCCACCATCGGCTTCAGCGAGGAGGACATGAAGTACAAGAACTAAATTCCGACCAGCAGAGAAGATACCCCATTGCTGACTGTATCAATGTCATGACGACACAGTCTCCCCGACATTTTTCAATCGTTTCGATCCGTCTCCTCTTTGCCTTGAGGCTCTCTGCGGGGATGACCAAGAGGACGACTTGCAAGACGAGGCGGCTCCTGCTCCCTGACACTACCGTGGCTGGCAGCATGGACCTCACTTGGCTCCTTTCGGCACGGAGCCCGTGCCGGCGAGTAGATAGATCGAAGCGAGACAGAAACAAATAATGTTAGCAATGGACACTGAAATAACGCCACAATGCTGTCTTGTGTTCTTGCAGAGTAAAGCTGAAGTAGAGCTGTACACACTTCGGCCGTCGTTGCACGTGGAACGTCAATATCGGCATGACCACAGCACAATGCTGCACCGCAAGGAGACTGTACCTCCAAACGAAAGCCTCCATACAAGCAATGGATAGCTAAGACCTTAGCTATCCCTTCACTTTCTACTTGCGGGAGGATGTCGATGCCGATTCATTTTTCTTGCCCCGAACTCGCTTGCATAAAGACTCCACTAATGAAAGTATGCGTGGCAGCTTAGTCCGGACGTACTACGAAGCACACGAAGCCACATTGACGAGCACCTAGATGACATCGCAACACTCTGCAGCGCTCCGGGCTCGGAAAGCTTCCGGCGGACGTTCTAGCTGGTTCGTAGGTACGACAACCATGAGCGATTTAGTTCCTGGATTCGAAATGCAGCAATTTACGCAAACAATCACCACCACTACATGTATGTCGGGAGCTGCACTTGCCCAGCCACGCCAACATCGGACTCCATCGGGTACTGTATTCAAGGCGAGTTGAAGCCGTCGCTCAAATTTCCCGGCCGTATTTTCGAGCGCGGTAACCGAGCGGCAGATGCCGCATGCTCGCATGGGGCAGGCACTTCAACTGCTTCTTCCCATCTTGAGCAATAGCTGTGCGGCGGGATTGTCACGCTGCGTGTACATGTACGCGCTTTCCATGCTCTTCGCCAACTCGTCTTCTCAGTGATGTAGCCATGTCCGAAAGCTCCCCTGGCCAAGTCGATCGCCAAGTGGCGATACATTTCTCAGAGCGCGCCGATGCTGTGCGTCCCACTCGACTGGCCGTGACTTGCGGCCACTATGCGCCCGCTATTCGGTGCGATGCATGGGGAGCGCCAGGTGTTGGTGGCGGCCACCACGTCAGGAGCGGAGGCGAGGCCTGTCCGGGGCCAGCAGGCAGTGACAGGCCCCAACACAGTGTCGAGCGCTTGGGCGTCCACGTCACTAGGAAAGTGCCGGCGTGCGTGCCGCAGCTAACTGCTTCGATGAGCTCCACGCTTGGGTTCGAGCAGCTCCGATCCACAATGACTGGTGCGGGTGGTCCCACTTATTTCGGTCCTAATCTCCCGCTTAAGTATCGTGGCTGTTTTCACTCTGTCGTAGGTGACAGCTGGACGAAGGCGCGGCAGTATCGAGAGTAGCACTTAGCCGAGGTCGTCCCGTCGTTGGGCGCAGTACCCGTAACTTAAGCGGGAGAAAATTGGTCTGACTACTCGATCTCTGTCTCTTTTTTCTCCAGTAGCTCCGCCCTCCGCCCTTGCGTCCTTGGCTCGCGGACGAGAGCAATAATGGGACCCAGCGTCCGCTAGCATCTAGCGCTCCATTAGCCGCGCTTCTCCTCACCCCATGGCGCCATGCTACTTACTTGCAATGCACACATCTTCCAAACTTGCTCCCTCCGCTGCGCCTGTAGGAGGCTCCTGAACCTATTTCGGCGCTTCCCGAAACAAATTTTATTTAGCAGGCGGCCATACAATCTCCCAGTCAACCAGCGAGGGCTAGGGTCGCACACACTCGCACACGTCCCGCTCCGAACAATCTGCTCGACGCTCGAGAGTGAAAGCAAGGGAAACGGAAAGCGAGGCGAAAAGCTCGCGCCCATTCCGCACTCGGCACTCCGCCCCGCTAATCCACAGCTCAGCAGCGTCGGACCAAGCGCGCGCGCTCACAGGCTCACATCCCCCCCCCGCGACGGACGGACGGACCGACTCCAGAGCGCGCACCGAGGGCCCCTCGGTAGGAAGGAGACTTAGGCAAAACTAGATGAAGAAGGAGAAGCACGGAGACCACGGACTGCAGCGGCAGCTGTCGGCCGCGCCCCCGCGCCGCCGCGCGGCCTCCAACTACCAGACGGTGGAGGACGTGGCGGCCGAGCGCGGCGTGAGCATCAGCCGCCCGCCGCTGCAGCAGGGCCAAGCGCCCATCGCGGCGCTCACGGCGTCGGGGCCCGCGCGGCCGCCGCGCCCGGGCGCCGGCTCGTTCGAGCTACTGCAGGCTAAGTTCGGCTTCCAGGAGGGCAACGTGCTGAACCAGAAGGAGCACTTCGAGTGCTGGGTGCTCAACTACGAGTCGCGCATCCTCGAGGCCGCCGTGACACCCGTGGACACGGAGAACGCCATCCAGACCATCCACGCCAAGTTCTTCCGCAACTACGTCAAGTGGTGCCAGTTCCTGCGCACGCAGCCCTATCTGCTGGACACGGCGCCGTACGCGGGCGCCGCGGAGCGCCAGGTGGCGCTCTTCCTGCTCATCTGGGGCGAGAGCGCCAACCTGCGCTTCATGCCCGAGTGCCTGTGCTTCCTGTACCACAAGATGGCGGCCAAGCTCGACGGCCTCGAGAACATGCCCAACGCGCCCGAGGGCGCGTTCCTGCGCCGCGTCGTGCGGCCGCTGTACTCGGTCGTGGCCAAGATGCGCGACGTCACGCCGCAGAAGAACGGCGCGGGCGTGGACCACAAGAACGTGACCAACTACGACGACGTGAACGAGTTCTTCTGGCGCGACGTCTGCCTCAACTTCGACGAGTTCAACGTCGCGGAGGCCGTCAACGTGCGCGAGTACAAGACGTTCAAGGAGCGCCGCAGCTTCTGCAACCCGTTCCTGGCCTTCTTCCGCATCTACTTTTTCCTCTTCGTCATGCTGCACGTGCTGGTCGTGATCGGCTACGTGGCGTACCGCTCGGATCCCGACAACACGGACGGGTTCAACTTCTACAGCAACTTCTTCACGTCCGACATCTCGGACATCCGCAACCACGCATTCTACTCCATCTTCATGTCGATCAGCGGCTTGCTGGCGCTCAAGGTGGTGCTGGACATCTGGCTCGACGGTACGCGCGTCTTCGGCCGCATGATGTACGCCTTGTCGGTGTTTTGCCGGCTCGTGTGGCACACCGTGTTCTTCGGCCTCTTCACGGCCGTGAACGCGGCGCCGTACGAGAAGCTCGTGGGCTCGAGCGACTTGCTCACGATGGCTCCAGTGTTCATCGGCATCTACATGGTGCCCATCGTGCTCTCGTCCATCATGCAGATGCTCTTCCGTGGAGTTATCTGGCGCTCGGCCTTCCTGAGCTCGCTCGACGGAACGCGTGAGCAGTACATTGGTCGCACGATGGGTCAGAGCTGGGGGGATTTCTTCGGCTACGGCTTGTTCTGGACGGTCATCTTCGTGTGCAAGTTCATGTTCAATCTGCAGCTCATGGTGAAGCCTCTGATTGGGCCTAGCGTCGAAATCTACAGCGTGGATGTGTCTACCGCCCAGCTCGAGAACGGGATCATCGAGTCGAACCACAACATCGCATTCTTGGCTTCGATGTGGGCCCCGGTGGTGCTCGTGTACATTTACGACTCCCAGATCTGGCTCGCCATCGCGCAGGCCATTGTGGGTGCCTGGATTGGATTCCGTCTCAAGATCGGACACTCGGCACGCATCAAGGAGTTCGTGACGCGTCTGCAGCAGGCGCCTAACCTGTTCGACGAAAAGGTGGTATCTGCTGCCGCCCGTGGCCAACTCGCCATCAACAATAACCCCCTGTCGTCAAGCTCTGTTGCCCCCGATGCCAACAGCCGTCTGCGCTTCGCAGTCGTGTGGAACGAAATCGTGAGCAGCTTCCGCTTGTCCGATTTGCTGGATGACCGCGAGACTGCCATTCTTCAGTACCAGATTTCAGACACGGGAGCTGTCGAGGAGCCTGTGTTTTTGATCGCTGGAGAGGCCCAAGCGGCCGCGGATATTGCCGCGAAGTCTAAGACCAAGCGTATGAGCGATGGCCAACTCTTCAAGGAGCTGAAGAAAGCTGGAGTGTTGGGCTGTGCCAACAACTGTGTTGACATCTTGTTCCAGATATTGCGCCAGCTTTTGGGCCCCCAGGACTCGGATCTCGTCGGTGTTTTCCACCAGATTCTGGCGGGTGGACGTGTGAGCGGCGTGGTGAATCTCACGCACATTGGATTGGTGCGCGAGAATGTCGTTGACTTGCTTGCGAGTATCTTGGATCTACCGGAGCCAACTGTTGGCCCCTTAGGTGCCGCAATGGGCTTCCCGCACGACCAGGTGCTCGTCGTCGTGCAGCGTGTGGATGCTCTATTGAAAAGTATTGAACTGATGTTGGAGGAAGAATGGATGGCGGAGAAGTTACGCAAGTCGACGTTCGCCAAGATGACGCCGGACCTTGCTTACCAGAAGGAGCAGTTGCTGTCTATCTTCGCTGACCGCATTAGCCAGCGTGACTCCAACTCGCCGACGCGTACGACCTCGCCGAGCTCGAATGAGAGCGTTGTCTCGCTTTCCACGCGACTTTTCTTCTTGCTGACACTGGATGCTGCCGACGCATTGCCTCGTTGCCATGAAGCTCAGCGCCGCATGAGTTTCTTCTTGAACTCGCTGCACATGAAGATCCCGAGCATCCCCTCGATTGCAGCGATGCAGTCGTTCTCCGTTGTCACGCCGTACTACAATGAAACCGTGCTGTTCTCGATTGATGAGCTGAACGGACGTGTGGACTCGAACCCGCTCTTCCGCAAGGTGGAGCAAAAGGGCCGCGATCTCAGCATTTTGAAGTACCTGGTTACTTTCCACGATGACGAATGGGGCAACTTCCTCGAGCGTGTGGGTGTGGCCTCTATGGATGAAGCGCTTGCGGAGACGCCGACCCAGGTTCGTTTGTGGGCATCGATGCGCGGACAAACGCTGGCACGTACTGTGCACGGCATGATGATGTACGAAGATGCGCTGAAAATGTTGCGTTGGCTCGAAATCGGTTCCGACGAAAACATCTCGCACTTGGAAAAAATTAAGCACATGGACCGCATTGCTGGTCTCAAGTTCTCGTACGTGACCAGTTGCCAGATTTACGCCGATCAACTCGCGGCTGGGGATTCGCGTGCTTCGGATATTGACCTTCTGATGCGCAAGTACCCGAACTGGCGTGTGAGCTATGTGGATACGATTCGCCCACCCGCTGGCAGTGGCACCGAACCTCGTTTTGACTGTGTGCTGGTTAAGTCGGATGGTGATGAAATCGTCGAAGTTTACCGCTACGAATTGCCTGGAAACCCGATGATTGGTGAGGGTAAGCCTGAGAACCAGAACGTCGCGATCCCGTTTACTCGTGGTGAGTACATTCAGACAATTGATATGAACCAAGAACACTACTTCGAAGAAGCCCTGAAGATCCCCAACTTCCTGGCTACGGCTACGGCGAATGGAAAGAATGTCACCATTATTGGTATGAAGGAGCACATTTTCACGGGCCGAGCATCATCTTTGGCACACTTCATGACGCTGCAAGAGCTGGTGTTCGTGAGTCTGACGCAGCGTGTGCTTGCGAACCCCCTCCAGAGTCGTATGCACTACGGTCACCCTGATGTGTTCGAGAAGTCATTTATTATGTCCAATGGTGGAGTGTCGAAGGCCAGCAAGGGAATCAACTTGTCGGAAGATGTGTTCGCTGGTTACAACGTCGCGCTTCGTGGCGAGAAGGTTACTCACGAAGAGTTCATGCAGTGTGGCAAGGGTCGTGATGTGACGCTGAGTCAGATTAACGCTTTCGAGGCAAAACTGGCAAACGGTAGTGCTGAAAGCTCATTGAGTCGCGAGTCGCACCGAATGGGTGCCGGCATGGACTTCTTCCGCCTGAACTCGATGTTCTACGGCCACATGGGTTTCTACATCTGTAACGCGCTGGTGGTGTTGTGTGTGTTCGCGTACGCTTACGGCAAGGTTTACATAGTGCTGCACGAACAGATCGAAGAGTCTGCCATTATTACGACAAGCTACCTGGATGATCTCGCTGAAGTGATGAACACCCAATTCATTTTCCAGTTCGGTATGCTGATGACCATTCCGCTGATTGCCACGCTGTTTGTGGAGTACGGCTGGCACCAGGCTGTGGTCAACTTTGTCGAGCTTATCGTGACTCTGGGCCCGGTGTTCTACATTTTCGAGACTGGTACAAAGTCGCACTTCTACGACATTGCTCTCATGCGCGGTGGTTCCAAGTACCGCGGTACCGGTCGTGGTTTCGCCATCGTTCGTGAAACTCTCGTGAACTTCTACAAGGAGTATGCAGCGTCCCATTACCGCAAGGCTGTGGAGCTGATGGGTTTGATGATCATCTTCGGCACGTACGGCAACTTCAACATCGGTACGAATGTGCTGGCTGAGTTCTGTGCCACTGCGGACTTTGACTGTGACAAGGACCCCGATCAGATCCCGTCGAACATCACGCTCCTCAACTCGTACAGCTCGAAGGGCCAAGATTACGGCATCGCTTCGTTCGCTGTGTGGTTGCTCGGCACGTGCTGGCTGCTCGCGCCGTTCCTGTTTAACACTGACGGCCTGGACTTTTCCAAGACTCGAGTGGATATCACGTATTGGCTTTCGTGGCTCATGTCTGTGCGGGAGGAGGAAAACGACGAGAGGCTGCTGCCGAGCAACAACCCTTCAGGACCGACAGACACGTGGAACGATTTCTACAACTATGAGGCCAGTCTGATGTACCCTATCGGCCCAATGAGCCGCTTCGTCTACGCAGTGCGCGAGTTCCGTCACCCACTGGTCATGTACTATATCTTTATCTATTCCTTCAAGTTGAGCGACATCGGAATGCTGTTGGGATGTATCGGCGGCATTGCAGTTTTGCTGTGGATCGGTGGCTTTGGCCTCGGAATGTGCATGCGCAACAAGGCCCGCGTTCCGCGTGGCATGCTGTATGTACTTATGGTGTTGATCATTGGTGTAGCCCCTTTTGTCGTGGGTTCGATGCAAGATTGGGATGGAATCAAGTCGTTCTCGCTGACGATCGCCATTTTCACGGGACTGTTTGCGCTGCTGCACTACTTGCAACTGCTGCACGGATTGTTCGGTCTGCCGATTGCTAAGTGGGGCCTTGTGCGCGAGCTTGCCTTCTTCTTTGATGTGATTGTGGGTTTGTTCCTGGCCGTTCCCCTGCTGGTGCTGTCGGCATTCCCGTTCATGAAGACGATTCAAACGCGCATGATGTACAACGGCGGTTTCTCGCGCGCGCTGAGCTCTGGAAGCGAGTTCGCGGCCTCTTTGAGTGTTGTCGTGGGCGGCCTTGGCGGCTTCACATACGGCTGGTTGACCTGCCTCATCTTCTCATTGGGATATGTGAACTCGTCCGCAGACAACTTTGTGAACGAGTCGTTCATTTACTACAACAACGAGACGCTGGACGGCGCCTTGAATTTGACTATGATCAAGGTGTACGCGGCTGGTGCAGCTGCTGTAGGCGTTATGATGAGCGGCGGCTTGGCGCACGTTATTGGTCGTCGCTGGACGATCGAGATTTCGTGCTTTGTGACGTTCGCTGGCTGTGCGCTCGTGTGGCTGGAGTCGAGCTCTATGGCGCTGATCGGAATCTGCTTGGCATCCGCGGGTATCGCCATGCTCTCGCTTGTGTGCCCCCTGTACAACTTCGAGATCTGTATGCAAGGCTGGAAGGGCAAAGGTGTGCTGCTGTTCCTCACCAGCGCTGCCCTGGGCTACATGATCGAGGCCGTGCTGATCAACGACTTGAACGCCACGACCATGTCCAAGGACTGGGGCAACTCGCCGTACCATGACTGGCAGTGGCAGTTTATCTTCGGTATCATCCCGATCGTGCTGCTTGTGCCGGCCATGTTCTTCCTCCCTGAGAGTCACTACTGGGAGTACCGCCGCAAGAACGACCCGAAGGCGGCCGAAGCCGCGTTGACGCGCCTGCGACAGCGTCACGACGTGATTGAGGAAGTGAGTGAGCTCAAGGACTCGTTCGTGGTGAAGCAAGGTCGCGTCAACATGCCGTTCCGTATCGTGCTGGTGATCGTGCTCCAGGCCACGTTCGCACTGTTCACGTCCGGCGCGTTGCTGCACCGCGTGCTCGTGCAGCCGTCCCCCAGCCAGTCTGGCGCGCAGACGTCCAAGTGGCAGATCTACTACGGTGTCATGACGTTCGTGGGCGCGGTGCTCAGCCTGCTCACGGTCGACAACCTGCGCCGTAAGACGATCTTCAAGGACATTCTCCCGTTCTCGGCCGCGCTGTCGCTCGCGTGCGGTGCCATGGGCCTGGCCGACCAGGAGAGCAGCGTCATCACGCAGATCCTGGTCTTCCTCGTGTTCGTCAGCGGCTCGCTCAGTCTCACGTGCGGCACGTGGATCACGGCGATCGAGGTGTTCCCGCCCTACCAGAACGGCCGCTACATCATCATGTCGTTCGTCGTGTACTACGCCGTGCAGGCCGGCATCTACGTGGCGGAGCCGTCGTTCGCTATCAGCCACCTGGCCTTCGCCGGCTTGTGCCTGCTGCTCACGGTCTTCATGTTCGTCGTGTGCGCCAGCTCCAAGTACGGCGCCATCGAGCTCAAGAGCGAGAAGAAGATGCGCAAGGACGCCGAGGCCGCGCGCAACGCGCCGTCCTTCGTGGCGCGCGTGTCTCGCTCGCAGAGCTTCCTGCGCTCGCAGGTGCGGCGCTCGTCGTCGCACTACTCGGCGGCGGCGCTGACCCCGCAGGAGGCCAGCTACTCGAACTTCGAGTCCCCTGCCGGCCTCAACGTCAACGGCGGCACCCGCCGGACACTCAACGGCTCGCAGGCATTGTAACAATGGCGTACGAGCAGCCGTCAGACAGACACCAACCTGCCTACCGATACCTGCCTGCAGGGAAGGAGGAGGAGAGAAATGAAGGAGGTGAAGGACAAGTAACGAAATGCTTTATATATGGTCACTGATGCATTGTTCATCCCGTGTGAGCTTTATCGTACAATCTATCTACATGTATCTACCCGAGCACGGGCTTGGGTCTCGTCGTGAACACGACGCGCGTGCGCGCGACGCCCACGACCTCGTACTTGGTCTGCTTGGCCTTGGCTTGGTCCATGTCCTGGTCCTGGTCCTGGTCTCCAGCCACGACGGCGTCTCCGTCCCCGCCGTCCTTCTGCAGGATGGCGAACGGTTTGGGCAGCTTGGCCACCTTCCCGGCCAGCACGTGGTTGCCGATGCGCAGCGTGATCTCGTTGCCGCCGTGGCCGTAGCGCAGCGTGCCCACATCCAGCGCGCGCAGGTCCGGCTTATCCGAGCCGTCTGCGGGCAGCAGGTCGCCCTGGAACTCGAGCAGACTCCACTCGCGCGCCGCCGCGTCCACCACCACGGGCACCAGCATCCTTCGTGCCTCCTGCTATAATTAATGAGCCCATTTTATCCAAAGCAAAAATGGGTAACATCACGTGGTCCACATAGAATACACACTTAGCTGACTACCTCCCTGACTACCCGGTAGACGTCCGCGCGGGCCGCTCATTTCGGCATTCCGGGGGTGACCAGACACACAGCCAAGATGCTCGCTCTCGCTCGCTCCAAGGGCCTCATGCGCGCAGCCATGGGCGCGCGCGCCGCCAGCACGGTGGGCGCGGCGCTGGACGAGGCCGTGGCGCGCCTTCCGCACAAGGAGGCGCTGCGCAGCGTCAAGCAGGACGTGCGCTGGAGCTTCAAGGAGCTCAACGCGGCCGTGGACGAGCTGGCCAGCGGCTTCCTGGACCTGCAGTTCCGCGCGGGCGACGTGGTGGCGCTCTGGCTGCCCAACAGCGCCGAGAACGTTCTCACGCAGCTGGCGGCCGCGCGCGCGGGCCTCACGCTGGCCGTCATCGAGCCGGAGGTGTCCCAGGCCGAGGAGCTGGCCTTCATCCTGCACGACAGCCAGGCCGCGGGCCTCGTGTTCGAGCCCAAGCAGGCGGGCCGCAACCAGACGGAGATCGTGCAGGGCCTCTTCCCGGAGCTCGCCACCTGTGAGACTGCATTGCTTGGAGCGTTGGATAGAGGGTGAGAGGCTGATGGAGACTGTTGTTGTTGTTGTTGTTGTTATGACTGTTAAGTCCGCGAGCGCATGGAGGTGTTCCGCCCCAAGCAGTTCCGCCACCTGCACAGCGTCATCACCACGAGCTGGGAGCCGGTGGAGGGCATGATCAATCTCAACGGCATGATGGTCAACAACGCCGAGCCCTACGCCATGAAGGCCGTGACCAAGACGCTGAGCGACAAGACGCCGCTCGCCGTCACGTACTCGAGTGCGTTCGCTGGCTGCAGACTATTATTACTCGTTGATCGTGGTGGCTAATTTTTTGTTATTGTTATTTGGTGCAGAGGTGGAGGGACAGAACCCCAAGAAGAGCGCGGTGCTCACGCACGGCGACCTGCTCAAGCGCGCTGAGAAGCTCGCCAAGAGGTTCGTTCGAACGCAGACGGGAAATATTTTGGTGGCTGGGTCACTAACTGTTGTGCTTGCTTGCTTGCAGCCTGAACCTGACCGCGTCGGACAAGATCCTGCTCACGGGCGAGGAGGCTGGCCTTTCGCTGGGCCCGTTCGCCGCAATTGGTCAAAGCTCGCAGGTCGTGCTGCCCTCCACGGAGTTCAGCGAGGAGGCCGTGCAGCAGGCCATGAAGGTGGAGAACTGCAGTATTGTAGGCAGCGGCCTTGAGAACTTCAAGCGCGTGTAAATTTGGAGGCGCTACGAGGTGCAGCAAGCCCATCGGAGGCGACAGATACACATATTGTCACCTCAAACTACCCACCCGAGCAGATGAAGAAAACCAACAAACATGAAGCGAGAGTGAGTGAAGTAAGCGCTCGTTGGTTATTGTTTGTGTGCCTAGCGGCAGGTCTGTGAACGACCACTGCTTACTTGCTGCAAGGCAACCCATTGATCGATATACAGGTATTACACATGAAAAATATACAAGTTCAGCCAGCTCGCCGCTCTTAAGCCATGAGGATGCCGCCCAGTCCGAAGGTGATCGTCGCAAGCAGCATGGAGCGCATGGTCTCGCGCGACGTGTAGGGCGGGAGCTCGACCGAGAAGAAGCACGTGTGTGCGACCGGCAGGCTGCGCGTGGCGTCCCGACCTCCTTTCTTGGACAGCTTGAAGGGCTGCGGCCATTTGCCTCTCGGCAGGCGACTTCGGCCCCACGCAAAGCGCACAAAGTCAGCTCGTTGCTCGTCCGAGAACTCCGCCAGCGCCTCCCAGAAGAGCTGTACCGTCGGGTCGTCCTCCGCGTAGCCGTCGTAGCGCGTGTGCCGCTGCCACAGATCCAGGTCGATCTTCGGCGAGCCGCACGTGAGTATCTCAAGCTCCTGCCAAGTCAGCAGTGTCAGGACACGTCGAGGGAACAGAGTAGCAAAGCCGCGAGCCATGGCGGCCACTTGCGCACTGCATTCCTCCAGCCGAGCACGCTCTGCAAGTCGGCAATACTCAAGTCGATTGTAGAATCCTACAGTCAGGTGGCGGCCTCCAGGCACAAGCTCGATTTCTTCGCCAGTGCACGACGAGGCAGTAAAGCGCAGCTCAAGTCCGGCGAAGGCTGTAGCGAACTCTTCCTCCGTGGAGATACCGTCGTTCTCACAGTTAGCAATTCCATCGAGCATCTGAATGAACATGGCATCGGTGCCCTCCAGATCGGACCGCGTGAGGGGTTGTCCAAGCAACTGCTTCCACACCAGAGACGGCAACATGAAAGGAAAATCGCCATGCGTCCGCAGCGAAATTCCGAGTAGTTGACCAACGAAAGCAAACATTTGCATGGCCACAGGCGAGGTACACTTGGGGTTGGGCAGATACATTCCGCGGTTGTTGCCCGTGTCGTGCTGGCCGTTGGGGCACAGGACGAACAAGCTGAAGTGCGGCGAGAACAAGTCGTCAACCATGGAGGTAGCACCCTCGCGATACACTCCACCCCAGTCCACACCCTCTTCACCGCGGAACTTGACGCTGAAAAGTCGGCCCTTGCTGTCGATTTGCCGCCGTAAGAGTGCAGGGTCTACCTGGTTCAGCTGACGGAACGCTTGGGCGAAGAAACACTCTGACACAGACGGCTCCACCTCGCGATCATCCCTCGATTCGAGTGCCTGCATCCGATCCAGCGTGATACGCGCCGTCTGCTGTTGCGAGCTTGACCCAGAGGTTTCTCCGGCGACGTTTGTGGCTTCGATAGCGGCTTCCACTAGCGCGCTCTTCACGTCGAAGAAAATGCAATGGCTCAGCTGCCGCAGTCGGTGAGCGATGGTCCACGGCGACTTGGTATCACGCAGATCTAGCAGCGGCAAGCAGTGCTGTAGGCTCAGATTCAGGTACTTCAACAAGGCGAAACGAAGCTGCAGCAACTCCAGCGAGAGCCCCAACAACAGCGAGCAGCGCAAGCCGTCCAGTGTTTGGTTTAGCTTAATATCCGCTGGCTGCAGATCAACAGAGTGCTTCGTTGTCGCGGGCGTGGATGACGGTAATGACGCTGCAGGCTCGACATGGTTGTTCACCCAGTCCACGAGCTGCAAGTCCATTCCGTGCGTCCACTGATCACCCTCCGGTGCAGGATCTGTCTGCATCAGTAGGAGTCTTTGGAGGAGCTGCTCGATGTCATCGGCAGTCGCGCGAGCTAGTTGCTTTTCCTTTGGAATACCCAGCGCATTCACTGTTGCGGCAAAACCAAAATGAGCGCCTGCGTTCTCATCCGCGTGAAACTTGTACTCCAGATTGTTGCCTTCATGAGAAATGGCAGCCTCAGGCCAACCACTTTCTCCCGCGTAAGTCCGGTTGCTGCGAAACTCCTTTACGACATCACCGGTGCCATCGTCACGGGGAAGAAGCATAAAGCTAGCCAACTCCAGCCTCGCCATCGTCTGGCCTTGCCCAGGCGCAAGTGAACAGCGCGAGTCGAACGTAATACGAAGGGCTTGGGCAGCATCGAACGCTACGTGCCCCGTCAGCGCCGCCCCAGGAGTGTACGGGTGGGCAGTCTCGATTACCGCGGAAGACCCGTACACCTCCAGCCAAATTGCAACCAAAATGTGCTGAGGAAGACGCGTGGTTTGCCCAAGAAGGAACCTTGTCAATTCGGACACGTCGTTCAAACTGTCGCGCACGCGTTTCCGCTCGAAAGGCACAGGTAAATCGAAGGGTGTAATTACTTGTGGCGCCAGTGCTGCAGCCGAACCGTTTAGCTTGCGCTCAAAAACTGACGAAGCCGAGGAAATCACCATCGATAGCTCCACCAACTGCAGTAAATGAGAGGATAGGAAGACCTTGCCACTCGCTCTGTCCACCTCTGCTCGTGTCACCGCGAGCCTCGAGATCGATTCGAGTGCATCAAGTTCAGGAATTTCATCTGCGGGGAACAGCTCTGGGTGGTGCAACAACTGCTGAAGTAGGCGCACAACACGTCCCTTAAACGGAGCTCCCGGAGAACGCAGATAGCGCACAAGTGCGCCGTAGATTTTGCGGTTGTGCACAGCTCCGTGAGTTACCATCTCCGTCGCATCGTTCAGCAAAAGTTCTAGGACCCAGCATGCCCATTCCAGCGAGGGGCTTGCAAGCACTTCGGACTCCTTCGTCCAGCGGATACTAGCCATTGGCTTCACCTGGAAGCGATACCCATATCCGTTGTCTTTCGTGACGTTCTCTTCTGACGCGGCAAAGCGGAACCAGAATTGGTGTGAATGGATGATCAAGTCCGGAAGTAGGTGGCCTGAAGTTGTCATGGCGTTATCCACCACACCAATCCGGCTCTCACACTCTGGGTCTGCATAGAACGTCAACTTCGCCTTGGGCCCCAGTCGGCAACGATGATCAAACACTATCCGCAAGCATCGGTATGAGCTGTCGATGCTCACAGCACGAGCGTATTCGCATCGTCCGAAGTACGGGTGCAACGACTGGAATTCTTGGACTGCTGCCTCGCCTGCGCCGTCTCCTGCCATTCGTGTTGACTCGACGAAGTGACTGACGCACTCTTTAACCAGCACACTCGACAGCAGTCCATTATGATCATCGATTCCGCCTCCTAAGTAGGCGCTAGCAACTTCTTGCGCCTCGGTATCGGACGGCTGGCGGGTCCGTCTCATTCTGAACAAAGCGTCTTCACCCTTGCTCTCTTCGCTAGCCCAGTCCGCATCAGTGCTCTGTGTGATGGCTGCTGCAGGAGCAGGAGGTAGCTGAGCAGATTCAATAGACATTGCAATTGCTCGGTTCAAAGCCTCATCATCCTCGTCCTCTTCACCGTAGTCATAAACCTCAGGAACAACAGAATGTTCGCTGATAGACTCAGAAATACTTCCATAATGAGCACTTGCTTGATCTCTTTTCGGAGAACCAGGGCGCGGCTTGGGTGGATTTGCCTCAGAATGCTCGAACTTTTCCGTGCGCGCTTCTTCACGCAGCATCCGCAGCGTGATAGCCTGAAGACTTGCCAATAAGGAACTTGGTTGTTCCGAACTATCAACACCCGACGCGCTACCCCCGGTGGCTGAAGCTCCAGTTGTAGCACTGCTTTTCCCATCCACTTCCGCGTGCTGGGTCGAGTTCATTTCAGAGGCTGCCACCATTTTGAGAAGACTTACAAATTGCCGCGGCCCACCCACCACACTTAAGATTTCACTCGAGAAAGATGAAGACAGCGACGGTGGCTTGTCTTCGAGCGCTTGCGCCTCGTCAGAGGTGATTCTTGATGCATTCGCTGTCGACTTCCCAGCCGAATCGAATGCACAGAGTAAAGCTGTGATCGCACGTCTAGCGTAATACGTGGAGAGAGCATTTTCCGTTCTCAGAGCAACACGGTGTATGCTTTCCACCCCCTCCAGCGGTTCGTCGTAGATCTTCACAAGTCTGCGTAGATCTCGTGGAAAATGCCACTCGTCTTCATACGCACCAGACTCCGTATTCAAGAAAGTAATCAGCACACCGTCGTCCGGTGAATAACGCCTGAAGATACCAGTCCGCCCGCTAGTAGCTAATCGCTGAACAGGACCGATATCACTGGTTACCGTCAAGAGAACATTGGGCGTTAAGTACTCTGGATCAAGCGGCAAAAAGGCTGTCAGGCTTGAATCCCGCGATGCTGAAATTCCCGATGCGGGTTTGGCGGGTCCGGGCGCCAAAATTGGAGCTAGAGTCACCGCCATTGCATCAACATTCGGAGCATATGATAGATCCGTGCTTCTGGACGATGCAGCCGAGCCCAAATACTCCGCAGCAATAGCGTCACGTCGATCGGAGGTTGTAACTAGCGGGTCCGGTTGATCAATCTCTTCCATAGCCGCTCGGTCTTCCAGGACCACGGTTCTCGCAGCAGAAAATGAGTCCGTCAGGAGATCCAGAGAGTCAAACTTCTCCGCGTAATTACTTCCGTGCTCCATTAACCACTCCATGGCGCGATTGGGGTCACTGTTCGAGAGCTCCAGGGCGCAGAAGGCCAAACAGTAAGGCATGCCGGATATATTCTGAAGTTCTGATGCCTTTGCTTCAAGAGTCAGACCTGGGGATCCTTCAGCACCATCAGCCATTTCGTGCGCTGCAATAGTTGCCTGTGCTAGGCGTTGCGCCTGTTGACGTTCCTGGTAGGTAGCTGCTCCGTCCCCCATCAGCCACTCAACAGCCAAGTTAGGGTCATCGCGAGAATGTTCGAGTGCAGCCATGCATAAGTCGAACTCGAAACCCATCGCAGCCAGCGTGGATGCAAAGCCCCTACGAACCCGATGCGCCTCGGTTTCTTCCTCAGCAGGATCATCGTTAGCTTCAACACCACCAGAAGTATCCGTCGAATCTGACGCTGGGAGGGCCGGTGGGGTTGGATCCTGTAGTCCGTGAAACATTGCTTCCCCTAACGGCGTTGATGACTCTATCAGGCGGCACAAAATCATTCGCCCTCGCTCCTGCAGCAGCGGAAGGCTTAGAAAGCTGTTAAGACTGATGGGTGTGAGAGCGAACCGAAGCAGATTCTGCGCCATAATGTCATGCGCGAAGCTTCTCGTAACTTGAAGCGAGTGGCGCAGCAGAGCTTCCAGCGCCAACAGCGCACGAGATCGAATTTGAAGTCTCCACAGACTATCGAACTCTTTCAAGACGCTTGTTTCATCCAGGGACGAGAGCTGAAGAATCACTGGCATCATGTCCATTGTTAGCGGGACTGCCGTGGGAGGCAAACAAATTTCTTCAGTGGGCGACACAGCCGACAGCTTCACGTCTTGAATGTTGTGACTGGGGTCGAAATCGATTTCCGAAGATGTAGGGTGGAACACCACGCGAACAGTCGAAGCTTGCGAGTTCATCTCAATTAGCGTTGCACTTACTGCTTGGCCGCTGCCATCAGCACTCACGTCACTCGTACTGTTAGGACCCTGTGCAGCCACAGCAACTTTTCCACCGACTCGCACGCAATCCGAATGAGAGCCGAGTACACACAGAGCTCCGACAGCACGAATGATTGCTGCTCGGAATCTTATATCCGATGGATCTGGGGCTGCCCTTACGCCCGGAGACGGTGGGCCAGACTTCTTCCTGGCTAGAATTGGAGCGATGTTGCGAATAGCGTTGCATAGATTTTCAGCAACCCCCTGCTGCCACTTCTTCTCCATCAGTAGCCGACGCAACAACGCCACACTCTCTGAAGCGACCACCAGTGAGATCTGACCCGAGCGGAACCCAATAGGGTTGCTTAAAGACTCTGCGGATGCCATTGTGATCTCTCGGTCCGACGTTCCAGCTAATGCACTGCTCGGTGGGACATTGACGGCGTGCGTTGGCATCGGTGCAGCTGTGCTACACACAGACTCGGCGACTTGATCAAGTAGCAAATCAATCAGCACGGACTCAGAACCAAGAATGCCACCTACGTCGGACGGCTTGACACTCCCGCTGCAGCAGATTCTGCGGAGAAGCAGCTTGACAACACGCTGAGATCGAGGTGATGCCAGCCGTAGCATTTCTAGCAACCCTCGGAGCATGTGAGGGCGTACTAGGTATGTGATCGCCGGAGATTGCTGGCTCTGAGAAAGCATAAACAACAGGACACTGAACATGTGCGTCTCCACCTCGAGAGGCTCCAGAACTTCGACGTCTCCCGTCAAGTCGCTCGGGGCATGATGGATGTTAACAAAGCCGGATTTTCCACGAGCTACATCGCTTGGATACTGACGAAGACTTGCACCTCGCTTTTGGACCGGGGTCGATACTGAACGAAGCATTCGCTGAGCACGCGTCAACCCTTCAGCTTCTTCTGTCAGTTCTTTGCCTTGGATCAGCTCCTTTTCAAGAACCTCAAATACTTTTCGATGGAATTCTTTCGAGAACCACAACGTCTGAAGAACGGGCTCTTCCAGCTCTCTGTTAGTAGCTGCGCTTTTTGCCGCATCACTGGCAGCTTCGGCTGAACGGGCAGCTGCATCCTCTTCCATGAAACTTAAGCCCTGAGGGCGTGAGGTCTCTGCGCTAGCAACAACAGCTACATTACCGGAGCTACCAGCCTTCTGAAGTCGCTGTTTTCGCTTTTGCTTCGCAAAGGCCGCGACAGACTTCGCTTCTCCCTCTCGTCTCTCGTAAGCTCCACTAATACCAGTCGACGCCAAGAAACGGAAAACAACCCACGCGCATCGCCTAGTTTGCTTGCGAATAATCATTTGTTCATCGGTGCATGCACTCCACTGCGCGATCAGTTGGCTTGCAGCCGTATCCAATGGCTGGCTGCTTCCAGTTGGAAGTTCTCCTCCACTCAAGTAGGCATCGTCACTATCTGACAAGTCCATTTCATCATCGTCGTCCCCTACTCGAGACAACTGACTCCACTTTTGAAGAGCGGCGCGCTCATCGTGCTCACAAATCAGCTTTGATAGGCTGGCTGATTCATCGAACTGCTTCGCCAGCCACAATCGAACTTTTCGCTGGAAAGATCGAATGCATGCAATGACCCTACTCCACACATTCGGCTGCAAACTGTCCAAAGTATCGTTCCCAAAGACTGGTATACTTGTAGGAATCCAGCGGCAGTGCGATGCTGTTAAGTTGTTGCTCCTAGCGTCTGGGCCTTCGGTCGCGTGTTTCAGAACAGGCGCGGAATCGTAGACGCAGATGCCTTCTCCTTCCGTTGCATGCCACAGCCCGATCAAGTTCTCGGAGAAAACTTGTGATTTTGTCAGGGCCGTACCAGTTGAGGACTTCACTAGTGGAACACTTCGCTGGTAGTTATGTAGAATGTCGTAGCCGGTGCGAGAAACTCTCCATATTCGAACTTCGGCGATTGAGCCCTTGAACTTGCGTTGAGCTGAAATGTTTGTGAGCGCTGCACCTTGCGCGTCAACACCACTCATCCAACAACCGAGCCGAGCAGCTCGGAAATGTACGTTGCCACAGACACGCTCGAAGGTCATCTTCTCCGAGAACACTCCGTTCACATAAAGCTCAACAGATCGTGCAGTTGAATCATAGACAACCGAGCAATGGGTCCATTCAAAAGTGCGGAGCTGGATTGATCTAAACAGCCGCTCGCGAGGGAAGTTGCCTGGAATCGATAGTTGCAAATGTCGGCCAATTAACTCCAGGTACACACTGCCACTTTCCATGCCATTATCACATCGCAATGCTTGACATCCCGTCAATTCGGTTGGATTGATCCACATTTCCATCGTGAAGTCCTTCGTCTCGCCCAGAGCTGGCATCTCCAAGTAGCTAACATCGTCCGGTTTTGGGTTTGTCGCCGCTTGTGCACCACGCGTGGTTGCTGGTGTTATCTTCGCGCCAAAGAGCAGCGCTTGAGAGCTGGGTGCACGAGCTGGAGGCCCCAACAGCTTCCGTTGGAGCCCAGCCAGCATATCAGCATAGAGCAAGGAAAGCGATGAAGCTGTGTGGCGTGATGTAATTGGTACCGCATCATTCGCGCCCTCCAAATCGTTCTTTTTCCACCATTGCGCAGGACAGGCATAGTGAGGAGCCCGGCGAAGCAGACGAATCACGTCGCGCTTAGTCATGTAGCCGCTCCGCAACAGTCCTTGCTGAACAAATTCCTCTGGCAGGGGGTGCCAGTTGATAGTTGAGTACTGGCGTAGATTGTTAGACGTCGAAACATTGTCGGTACTGCTAGAACAGTTGCTGTCAGCAACTGCCTCTCGTAGAACAGAGCTGATGGAGAATATTTCCTGCAGCTTGGACAACATCCCAGTATCTAGCAGGAACTGGTGGTCTCGTGGCTCGAAATCCAAACTCCACGCGCACAGAATCGTTTGCTTCAGCTGCGGATCAGACACACTATAGCCGGAGCTCCCTCCCAGCAACTGAGCCAGATACGCGTATAAATCACAGAAAGCGCCTTGAACGCTGTCGATAGTCTGTCGATTGCAGCCTTCTAGACCCTTCAAGTAATGGTGACGGACTGTAGCCCGAAAAGTCTCCGCTACAACTTGCCCGTCGTTCAGCTCGCGTGACTCCTTCTCGCTGTCGGTGAACCCTCTCATGGCAGGACGCAAAAAGATCAGAGCATTGTGGATGGCCGAGTCGTACGAAAGCAACGATATAATGCACTTCATCGCTTGAAGACCGAACAAGCGAGAATCAGATCGCCGCTGTCGTCTCTCAAGCAACAGCGCTAGGACTTCAGGTGGAGCTCCGGTACCATCGCGAATGTACAATTCACACGCTTTCATCATTGCAGAGAAGGTGCTTGTGTAGTCGTATTTCTTGCTCACAGTCACGTCTTCTGCTGGGTCGATGTCATCATTATCGTCACTGTCAGTCGATTGTTGGGTAGCACTCGGAGCCAGTGTAGATGTTGGGATGACAAGAGCTTGGATGGAGGCTCGACGAGCTCTCCAACGATGTTGAGCTCGCAGCACATCCACGATACCAGACCATTTCGAACTATCTGCCTCCCCTAGCGTTTTCCATCGTTCAAGCATCGGTTGTAGGGAAGGAGGCGTCTTTTGGGCACTCCATTTTTCAGCCAGGTTGAACAACGCCACTTGGGAGTCTCCCTTAAGCCGCTCGACTTCCTCTGACGGTGGCGCTAGTTTGCACAAAAACTCAGCTCGGTGCACCACTTGCTGGACGAGCTCGTCAAACGTCTTTGGCACAACCACGCTTTGTTCCAAGTTGATATCATCACCCAAGCGCTTTGACTCCTGTTCTGGTAGAATATCGCTTCTTGTCTGTTCGTTTGGCGAGGGATCATCTGCTTCTTTCGCTCGGTACTCCTGTCTAGCCTTGATCAGCCAGTGACGAAGAATCAATATACGCTTCCAAACGAGAACCAGATCATCGGACGGAGTTAAATTCGCATGAGCAAGGAAGAACTCCGCCCCGAGAACCTCCCCCGCCGCACTTGCGCCAGCACCCGCAGCAATTGCTTGCACCTCCTGGATCACATGGAGTGGAGCATGCATGATCAAAGCTGCGCACATCCATCGCTCACACGCAGGGAATTTCCCAAGCCGGCTCATAAAGGTACGATCGGGACAGTGCTTTTCCAACCAAGACATTATCAGCTGCACGGTTCCACGTTCCGTCATATCCATTGTCCAATTGCTCCAAAAAGTTGGATCACGCTGGTTGACACCTTCAACAGCATCTAAGCGCCCTCCCGAAACACGCTTTCTCAGAATGGATTCTTTTTCAACACTAGATGGAGCATTTGGTGTCATGCTTGTAAAGACACCACTTCCAGCTCCCTGGTCATTAGAAGGGTAACGGGCGCATTCTGCTTGAAGCGCATCATTCCAGCGTAATGGTGTGTTGGCACCTGACTGATCCAATCCTGCTGGGGACTCAGCAATGCCCCCGCTAAGTAGCGGCGACTGTAGCCAAGGTAATAGCTCCTCTTCCACACCATCGACGGGATGTCCAGCAATTAATGTGCTAGTTATCCTCCCAGCCAGGGAGGCCAACGAATTGTGCAAATCGAAAAGCCAGTGAATGCGGAGCGTTGACTTTGCAATCCCCGACGGGCGAACTTGTACTACATCTTGAGAGCCGTAGAGCGATACACCTGCAGTTACCACTTGTGGAAGTCCCTCAATGGTAGTGCCAAGCGGTCGGAACTCTTGAGGTCCCACTGCAACCCCCAAGTTCTTGCCATTATATGCAAACGCCAGCAGTTGTAAATCGTAGTCGATCGTAACTGTGAAGATATCGCCCACCGAAACCGAAAGCCTTGGGCCATAATCGTAGCGATTGCCCTTCACCCAGACAGCACCAATAGCAGGCATCCATCCAATACTTGTCGCCGTCTCCCCCATAAACGCCTCATAAGCGGATAATTGAACACTCAAACGAGTTTGTTCTCGTGGCTGTCTCCAGTCAATTCCAACGCAAATGTGACCAGACACGGACCTACCAGCGCGCGAGCTCTTGAGAGCGAAATCAACAGAATGCACGCCATGAAGGAACGCCGTTCTCAAGAGGCAAGTTCGCCAAGTGTCCGTGCCATCTTTCACATAAGCTGAAGTGCCAGTGTGGCTAATGCAAACTGAGTTCAATTTCCTCTTCGCGTTGAACCGAAGTGAAAGGCATCCGTGCGGAGGAACAAAACGGGGAAGGCTAGCCAGAGGTGTTTCGTCTTGCACCATAAACGTTGGTACACCATACGCTGCCCCCATCATGTTTTGAGAGCCCGGAAACCCAACAGATCCCGAGGCATAGCAATCGCGCAAAATCTTGATGAACGACTCGTCGTATTCTTCGTCCGGCAAGTTCTCCTTCTTGTACCATGGATCTCCTCCGTTTGCAAATTCCTGGGTCGTCAATCGATATAGCTTCCCTTGAATGATTTTCGCAGGTGTTGGTAGCATCTCCAGTGCATACCCAAGTGCGTCCTTTTTGGAGCTACCGCCGACTGTCACCTGCGCAACAAGAAGCTGCGACCCTTCTTCCCACAACCTGATCGTATGTTCACGCGTTAGTCTGCCACCGTGTCTGGTAGGATTGACCGAGCGTCCTAGTGCGACAATAGAAAACGAGCTCGTCGCTTCAAACTGAAACCCGATCTGACCCTCGAAGTGGTCTTTCTCGCCGGTGTAGAGCTGGTGGAACACATTATAGAGACGCTTGGATGTGTGCGACCTAAAGCTCGGGTCTCTTTCCAGCGCTGCAGCACGTTCAACTTCCTGTGATTCAATCAACCTTGCCTTTTGATGGGCCTCCAGTTGCTGGAATCGGTGCGCCGACTTACTGACGATTTGCGATTCAGAGCAATAGTGGTCCACCGTTTCGAGAAGTCGGACTATAGCCGGTAGGATTGGCCGAGCGAGCCATGTCTGTCGACGTAGCAGGCACAAGGAGGACACAAACCACGGAAGAACCTCTGAGAGCAAAGGGATCCTGTATGAACGAACGCTTGCCTGGCGAACTGCCGCATCCCGGGAGAGAACAAACGACTCCTCCGCCTGAAATCCGGCAATGCTGTCAATCAGATCTCGATAAGCGTTCAACGAAAGAAAACCAAACTGGATCGTTGCTTCTTGAACTTGAAGTCTTCGATGCAACATTACTCGCAGGTAGTTCGAGTCTTTTGGGCTGGCTGGGTCATTTTCAATAGAATTTGTCTTTGTCAGCTCAACCGCTTCTGATAGGAGATAAAGCTGATACGTCTTCAGTAAGCGAATAGCAACATCAGAAAGCCCATCGCAATTACGAGAGCGATCAGCATCAGCGGCAAGCTGCCCCCTGTGAGAATTCACCACTAGTTTCATCAGAAGCCCGACAGTTTTTGTTACAGCAGAAGGCCATATTGCCTCGTCAGTCTCAGCTGCCATAAACGGCATGAACGTTAGTATTCCGTCTGGCCCTGGCGCAGCAAGTAGCTCCACCACCGACGTCAGTACGAAATAGCTCGCTGATGTGATTTCAAACGGATGGTCAATGTAGGCGAGTAACAGTTGAAGGAGCAGCTCCAGTTTCTCGATCGCTGAAGGATATAAAACGGATATCCCGGCCACGATAGTCCGAGCAGCAGCCTTTTCAATATCCTCCGCCAACTTCGTACCGACAGCACCACTTTCCTCACGAATACACGCCATTGCTTCAAGTTCCCCTCGCAGACTAGCGACCAGTTCGGGTGACACGCCAAGTTCTGTTGAAGGGTCCTTCACGTCATGGCATGAAATGCTCTCCAAATTGGCACTGATAATCCCAAGAATGTGCACGCACCCATCCCGTGCATGCTGTCTATGCTCATTTGAATCAACACATTGAGCGCGGAATCGCTGGAGTATCGTCAACAGTTGCGAGAATACCTCCTTGCATGGTTGTCGGCAAAACGGTTCCTCAAACTTAACAGATGGTTTCGTTGTCGAAAGCGTCGAGCCCGTACGTTCCCACTGAAGCTGGTACAAATCGTAGATTTGCCGAATAATTGTCGTCCCGAGCTCACCGGGGGAGCGCATATGTTGTGCGACGTGTTCACTCGTCATACACGCTTGAGAAGCTTGATCACTTTCTTCTTCAGAGCTAGGCTGCTTAACTGGATCCAAGGTTTCACCACGGGCTCCAATTCTGCACACTGTGCACATTTCTGCAGATGCTTTGTTGACGAAAGCGCACTGTGTGCAAACCCACTCTTCCACAGGGTGCAAACAAGGGTCAACCCAGACTGCGTGCGCGCAATGGTTTGAACCAATGCACGACACTTTAAGCTCCAGCATCCTGACATTCCTCACATCAACTTCAAACTTCTCGATCAGACGGGTTTCAGACATCGGTTTGGATTGCCACAGCAACTTGTCATCTCCAACAACCTCGAAGATCAACGAGACGCCACCGTTCTCGAGGAACTCATTGCGTGTATCGTCATTAAATGCAACCCCACCACTAATAGTATGGTATGCTTCAGCCAGATCATAGACCACGTAGGCATCGCCGTGCGAAGGCGGGTGTGTCGACAAGCAACGCTGCTTAGCCTCGCCATTAACGTGGATCGTGGTACTGCCTGTCGCAGATGCATTGGCTTGCGAAGAGCTCGAGTCCCCATTGCTTGCATATCCAAGCTGATTACCTTTACCCAAAGTTCCGTACCCAACCGAGAAGTGATACTCTCTCATACTTGAAAGGAAAACCGGATCGATATCAGCTGGTCCAGAGCTAGTGCAATCCCATTTAGTGACTCCAAGCAAGGTAATTACTTTCCCCGAGCCGTAAAAGGAGACAGCAGGGTGTACCTCATGGCCGGCGAGATCAGTAAACACCACTCCATAATCGGTGCCATTGATTTTGTAGGCTAGTGTTCCTTCGCCCATGTCAACATCAACTTGGACGATATCACCCGGATGTACTTTACCGATAGTTCTGCTAAGCTTGTGCCCTCGCGCGTAGAGATTGCCATTGTAGCCTCGCAGCATCCAAAGACTTGGAGACGAATCGTATCCACTCACAGTCACAGGAAGTATAGCAGCACCGAAGCAAGTCATTTCGTCGTCTTGTGTATCTGTGTCAAGACGGAATTTCCACGAAGCTTTCCCGGACGAGATACCACAATTCACAGCAGCATACTGGTAGCTAGTTTCCCGTGTACGGACAACGAGGCCTCCATCCTCGACAATTACTCCAGTCGAACACACCGAGGACTCGAAAGTCGCTGCAACTTTGCGCACATCACCAAACGCAACCTTGTCTCCATCACTTGCTAGACGCTGGGACTCTTCCATATGATACGCGTTTATTCCCTTGTAAAGAAGATGCCCCTGATCCAACGCCAAAGATGCAATTCGGTTGCTGCCACCGTTCTCGTCCTGACCTTCCAAACGCAGCAGCATATCAACAAATAACATTGTCACACTAAGCGACGCCGTAGACAATGCCCAGGACCGCAACGCCCCGATAGCTTCTGCCGCCATAACTTCATCAGCAACGTCCAGAGCTCCAAGCAACCAAAGCGCTACTGCATTCAAGGTTGACTTTGGATCCGCAAACAAGGAGCCAGGGGCAGGCATATTCAGCTTCAAATGCTCAATCGCATATACCCCATTTCGATTCGAGGATGGCAGGCCTGACATGACGACTCGAGTCTCACAAGACGACGGCGGGAAGCTCGTGTCAAAGACCGTCGGACCAGAGGATGTCACCGCTCGGTCCTCCACCAGCTGCACAAAGCTGTCACTCCCCTCAACACGATACTGCACACCGACCGTTTGTGGGACATACTTCATATGCCAATGAATCGCGATCGACGTCACTTTGGCCAACTCCGTCGACTTCACCGCAAAATACACCATGCCGGGCCTCGGCTGCGAGTGCCAAGACGTACTGTCCATCCCATCCATGGCACAGTACGCTCCATGGGCGTCCGAGCTCGACGTCACCGACGACGCCTCCACCTGGTGCTTGTCCAGCAGCAAGGCCTTATCGGGCGCCTTCTTCATTGGGCTCCAGAACGAGTACAGCGACAGCACGGGGAAGCACGTGAGCAGCTGCGACAGCTCCTGGAACGGCCTTAAAGCCTGCGGGTTCTTATAGTCGAACGCGCCCAGCAGCGCCGACAGCGTGTGGATAGCCAAGTGGTGCAGCTCCTCGTTGCCGGGCGCGCTCTCCACAGGCCTCGGGATCTTCTTGACCCCATCACGACTCATCAGCTCGCAGGCGATCTTGGAGCTGTGGGAGATCACCGCCAGGCGGCGCTCCAGCACGTGCGTGAACACGGGCGTGGGCAGCGCCTCGATGAGCATCTCCTCGAGCGTGCGGATGGAGCCCTTCTCCATGCCCGAGCGGTCCACGACGCCCGCGCTCGTCATGTTGCGGTAGTCGGTCACGCTTTGGCGGCACTTGAGCTTGCGGTTCTTGTGCATGCGGTGCTCCGTGGGCAGGTCGCCCGCCGCGTTCTCGCCGCAGAGCAGCGACGACACGAAGGCGTCCTGCAGCACGTTGGCCTGCAGCTGGCGCAGGTACTCCTCGCTCTGCAGGTACTCGTCCCAGCTTGCGGCCGCCGAGTACTGCAGCGACGCGAAGCACACGGCGCAGCTGCGCGTGCGCCCCGAGTGCAGGCGCGCGGGCTTGGGCATCCAGCCGTCCTCGTCGTCGCCCGTGCCCCAGGCCTCCGCCTCCACGCGGGGCGGCGCCTCGGCCTGCGCGGCGTTGGTGTTGGCGGCGTCTTCGCTTGGGCCGTGGTCGCTCGTGCCAGCGCTGGCGCTGGAGCTCGAGACGCCGGCGGCGGCGCGCGCCGGGTCCAGCTCCTCCGCCTCCATGAGTGATGATCTTTAGACCTGAGAAGAGGAAAAGATATGGGCAGCTTTAGGCAGACGGGATTGGCTGAAATGGATGTAGCCAATCAGATTGCGTATGAGAGGATGGCTTCAACTTCAAAGCATTGACGGCACTTCTCTCCTACAACATGAAGCGGACCTTAGACGATGCTGGCTGCTGTTGTAGGGCAGGGCAGGAAGTTTCGAACGGCTTGCTCCAGCGCTTTGCGGTCGGAAGGCGACTGGAACGCGAACCACGAGAGCCCGACGCCTTTGGTCATCGTGGCTGCTGTGGTTGCAGGCAGAAGGTCTATCTCGTGGTCGCCGCCTACCTTCAGCATTGAGCTCAGCTGGCGAGTGACGTAGGCTTCGACTTCGGTCTCAAGGCTGGCTGACCACCGCGGCGTGTTAACTCGAAGTGCCTTATCCACCTCCGAGGACAACGTGCCGTCAGACATACCACCCTGCAAGGGAGCAGGAGGAAATAGCAGCAGCTGGTACTGCTGCACGCCACCGGCGGTCTGGGGCGGCAGCTTTTGAGCCTGGAACTTCAGCTGTTGCACCGCAAACGACTGCTCCCACGCGAACTCTTCAGTCGGGGGCGACGGGTCCAACGCCTGGGTCGCTGTCTGCGCGCAAGGTGAGACGGAGATCACGGCTCGAGCCACGCGCGCTAGATACGGGGCGTCCTCCACGAAGTCATTCCAGAAGAGTTTGGGCGGCCGCCCCGCACTCATTTCCCACGCGACCACGTCCTCGAAGCCGCCTGACTTCTCTGTATAGTCACCAAGCTGGGTCAGCAGTTGAGTGCGAGCAGCGCCACTGCTGAAGCCTTCACTGGGAAATATGCGCTCCGCTATCTGGACGACCAGAGACTTAACGCGTCGCTTACCAGAGATTGAAAGCCCAGCACCAGCGATGCGAGGGTCCAATAGCATGCAAACCAACTCGTGGGAGTCAATGTGGTGCTCGATCAGTGCCATAACAGTCGCTGTAAAAGCCTCTTTGTCCTGTTTGGGGAGTAACTGCGAAGTGGCGGACTCGATAATTGACAATAGCCACAGCCAGAGCACAACGTACTGCGCTGATGTCGTTCCCTTGGCCTCACTCAGCGCCAGCATCCAGTTAAACGGGGTCAGCAGCTTGTCCACGAGACGTAACTTGTTCCAAAACGACGACACTTCATCGGAAGGCACAGAAACCTTGGCTTGATACCGACGGACGTCTTTCTCCAAAAACACCATACGTTTGACCAACCTGGGGACAGCGCCCCAGTTTGACGACTTTAGCAGGGTTTCCACTTGCGGCCGCAGCGGTGTGATCTTTGAGATGCTATGAGCCAGAAAAATCGTCTTGTTCAGTAAATCAACAAGAGCCGGGAACGTGTTCAGCAGCTCCTTCCGCAAGACCAGCGACTGGCGGAGTAAGCACGCGCTCAGCAGCATCTGCGTCTTTAACTTGGTGGCAATGGCACTGACACTGTCAGGGTCTTGGGCAGGTGTTGATAGAGCTTGCTGCTGCTCTAGCCGTAGCTGACGATACATCAGTGGACACTCACAACAGAGGCAAAACACAGCCTCCGGCGCCATGCTGAGTCGTAAACTCGATACAACTACATCGAACTCCTCACGCGGGGAGCAATATCTGCAGCAATCTTCGTCCGACGACAGAGTTGACGGCTCTACTTTGCGAAGCGTCTCCTTCAACGGAACCACCCTGCGCTGTTCATCCACGCCCACCCACCGGTTGCACCACTTCAATGGCGCTCCTGTTGCCGCTTCATCCTGCTTCTTAAAGTGTCTGTGCACAAGCGTGAGCACTTGACACCGTTCCAACTCCTCCTCCATCTTCTTCGAAGCCGCATCCGCCAGCTCCTGCAACACTGTGGTTTTCGCCTGCTCTGCTGATAACCGCGGTAAGCCCGGACGCGCCAACGTGAAAGCTTCCATCAACGCGTCATCTTCCACGAAAGTGGCGGGGACGTCATTCAGTACACAGGCTAGCACCAGCTTCTGGTGCACCTGGGCAGCCTCCTGCTCCGAGTAACCTTCTAACCGAGCTCGCGGGGGTTCATAAGACACTTGAGGCGCCGCAACACTTTCCTCTTCCTCAGCTTCAACCTCAGCTTCAGCGTCTTCACTTTCAGGCTCCGACGTCGCCACAATCTCCCCCGCGTCCTCCTCTTCGTCATGAGTGACTAGAGGTCTGATTGTCTCCTCAACTGGAGCTATAACTTGCTGATTCTGTTGCAGCTGGGGCCGTCTCCTCTTGGCCGGGGCTGGTGACGCCGTGTCGACGAAAGATGCGCCAGCCCCCGAGGCAATGGCAGTCTCCATGGGTAAATCTGTGGCGATGACTATGGCACTATGCGTCTGGAATGTGTCACTGCGTGAATCGGGCGGGTTGGCCTCGTCCAGAAGCCGCTCGATGTCCGTGGGCGCCTTCTCGCACTTGTTCAGCACGTGAGTGCGCATCCGCGAGGCCACGCCGGCGCAGCGCTTGGCGCAGAAGTTACAGGACGCGTGCACCTTGTTGTCGGGCGTCCGGATTTCGCTGAAGAAGGCCCACACGGGGCTCGGCCGTCTCCCGCCACGACGCCGCTTCTCGCCCACATGCTCGGCGTCGTGCATTTTGGGGCTAAATACTTTTAAGTTGTAAATTTTGCAACTTTTTCTATACTGGACAGAATAGTACTCCAAAAACTGTAATTATGCCCCGTGGGGTATTGCAGGCTGCAATACAATACACTCCACGACAAAAAGATCCAAAAGTGGCTGTAACTTCGTCATTTTTATCGTTTTAAGGTGCGGTTTGGACTAGAGCTGCAGAACACGCTGATAAAGATCTGCACGCTGCTAACACGCGCGCTTTTGGGCTTCTTCAGGTAGCTCACATACAAATCACTGGTTCTGCCCAGGTGACAAAACTTATGGACAGCTAATCGCCATACAAAATCCTATATAAACCAAAACCCCTTACAAATGATACGACTTGGACTTTGTATGGGGCGACAAAGGAACCCATGATTTCTCCACTCTACCTTAGTACTGAGCCATATATTATCTACCAGCAGTTCAGAATGGAGAAGACAATCGTATATCCAAGAGATAGCAGCATACAGAGCTACAAATTGGCACTAACTAGGATGCAACTGAACGTGCCTCGCAAATCATCAGATAATACATGGTAGCCACCACTCGAAATTTCAGTTGCTTACTACTTGCTCAGTTTTGTGCGATGGTCGATGAATTTATTATAGGTTACTAAACACACCTTCTAGTACACGATAATGCCATCAGATCTTTGTCTAACGTCACGAGTATCCCCGTGAGGCTGGTTCCATTGTCGCCCCATACAAAGTCCAAGTCGTATCATTTGTAAGGGGTTTTGGTTTATATAGGATTTTGTATGGCGATTAGCTGTCCATAAATTTTGTCACCTGGGCGGAACCAGTGATTTGTATGTGAGCTACCTGAAGAAGCCCAAAAGCGCGCGTGTTAGCAGCGTGCAGATCTTTATCAGCGTGTTCTGCAACTCTAGTCCAAACCGCACCTTAAAACGATAAAAATGACGAAGTTACAGCCACTTTTGGTGGTGTCCATATCTTTTTGTCGTGGAGTGTATGGGGTACTCCTGCAATTTGCAGCAGTACCCCCCCTGCCTGCGGCATTATTATTAATACAAGGGGGGCACTATTAAAGGGAGTGTGGCACCAAAAACTAACTAGGGCTCTGCAAAGGCTGGGATTGGAGGATTTTGATATAACCCCCCTCATTATTTTTAGGCACTTGTTGCTGTTACAACCTGAAAAAAATGAGACGAGACTGGAGTTACCGACAGCATCCAGAACGGCATCCAGAACGCCCAGACAGCATCCAGAACGTCACGACAGCATCCAGACAGCATCCAGACATGATAGAGCGAGTCGTACCACCTGAACGGCTAGGGTATACGTTTCCGGTTAGTTGTAGTGCGGGAGAGCAGGCCACGAACTGGCTTGTAAGTGCAGCGCCACGATGGAGCTATGTGTAGTAGTAAATGGTGGAGCCTCCACCATTTACTCCACACTGTCGACTATAGCTATTCTACATATTGCACCTGTGCTTCGCCTAGTATTAGTGACTGATGCGCTAGACAACTACATGTACATGTAAATACTTAGATAACTACATCTTGGACGCATGCGATAGACTAGCTAGAACAAGATCCAACGAGGCTAAACTTTCGTACATGGATTCATGGTGATACAGTTACGGCACTAGGTTTCGACGCTTACTTGAAGACAACAACACAGCCGTGAAACATGCTACACTCGCCATTGCCCTTCGGTGCTGCACGGCAATTGACCACGTCGCGTAGCATGGGTTGTCGAGGCAGCTTGTCCGCCTTCTTGTCGGCGAATACCTTCACCACCTTGTCACCGACGTTCACGAAAGCAGCGCTGGGTCCTCGCACTCGCATCGCTCGCTGCCTTCTGCCACTTGCGCTGCGCGCCGCTTCCTGCCACTCGCGTCGTTCGCAGTGCTCGTTGGTTCTTGCCTTCTAACGCTCCGTTTCTAAACTATTCTTACCAGCCAACCACTGCGGTAAACGCTATACGCTTGCCGGACCGACGGCGGCAGTTAGGGCCAGCGAGGTTAGCGGCTGTTTATCAATTTCTATTCTGTAACAGGAACCACTCTCTTATTTTTAAAACCTTTATCCCCCAGGTCGAAAGCCTACTAGTAGTCTGGGTCATATCCTACTAGTAGGCTCTAGTTTATATGAAAACTTGTATTGGACATCATGTGGTAAACATTAAAGTCACATGATAAAGCTTAATGATTTGCTGTATTAGCTTTACTATTGAACTTTACCACGATATCTAGCTGAAGTTTTCGTCCGATAGACCGCTCTGTTAGCGCTGAAAACTAACTAAGTTGTACTTTGTTATTTCAGCTTTCTTTGAGCCCAGCGTCGCACTCCATAATTGTCTCTGTCCTTCAAAACCTATTTGTTTTGTGAGCCTACTAGTAGGCTAATTAGGGGATAAAGGTTAATGATTACTTTTCATATTAGCTACGGGCATCTCCTGCGCCTGCTTTGCAGCCGCAGCATCTGCCCGGAAATTGGCCTTAACCTTTGTAGGATAGTGAGCCTCCCGCGCGTACGGGTAGGCTCAATTTTGTAAATAAAGTTTGAGCGCCACAGAGCTCCGATTGACAAGCGAATTGGACGAATATAATGAAGAAGGCCTGGAGAGTCCTAAGTTTATTTCTTGGCTCAATTCGAGCAACGCATCGTGTTGAAAATACCGTCGTAAGTTGAGCAAATCGCCAAAAATCACCAACCCAAGTGTTATATTGAGCGACACAGAGTTGCTACGGAGAAACCGGTTAGTAGGGTAGAAAGATAATTACTTGGGGAGCTAGAGACACTTTGCAGGTACTCGATATGAGCTTGGATCGCGTCTAAAATGGCGAGCGAAGTTTTCGTCAAAATACCTAAGAAATGTAGGCAAATATCGTCAAATCTCGGATCATATAATCCCTGTATTGTTTTTGCTGGCCATATGACTACTGTTGGTTTGATGCGCTGCGTCCTATTACATCAAAATGCATCTTTTTCTGCATCATAATAGTGTAGTACACACCAAATGTAGCCACTTCTAAGTTTCCGTCAAACTTCGAATTTCCCGCCATCGGTCCGCCGTCCGGCAATGATGTGGTTGCTGTTGCTCCTGATGGCATCAACCTCGTTGTGCCTCATGGCACGACGTGGAAGGCCAAATGCTTCGATTTGGGACGAATTCACAGTCGTTGAAGGCACCGAGCGCTGCAAGTACAAGGACGCAACCTGCAACTACTGCAACAAGACCTTGCGGCGGGTGTAACCTTCGCGGGGGATGATCAACCATGTGATCAAATGTCCATCCATGCCAGCGTTCCTGAAGGACCAATACAGGGAGGCTGCTTTGGCGAAGGCGAAGCAGAAGAAGAGGGCGAGGCGGTCTCGCAGCTCGTCGTCCGAAGGCAGCTGTGCTGGACGAGTGGTGGAGGAAACATCGCCAGAGCAAACGGATTCCAGCGCATCAAGAACACTTCGCAATCAGATGTCTATAGCCATGATGTTCTACACAACGTCGGTGGCATTTTGAGTTGCTGAACTACTTGGTTTCCGGCAGATGTTCGCGTGTATTTGCCTTAGCGTGTGCGCGCCAACTCGGAAGGACTTGTCTGAATGGCTTCTGGATCGTGCTTTTGATGAGGAAAGAAAACATGTGATCGCAGCGCTCAAGGATATACCGCTCGTGGCTCTCGTATCAGACGGATGGTCCAACTTGCGTCGTGAAAGTCTGATAAACTTCATTATCGTTGCTCCGGGTATACGGCCATTGCTTTGGACCTGTCGTGTGACTGCAGAAGCCGTTAAGTCCGGGACGTACATGGCGCAAATGATTGGAGATGTCGTCGATGAGATCGAGAAAGAAATCGGAGTGGTCAAAGTGGTCTCCGTCACGACCGACAATGCCTCCAACATGCGCAGCGCGTGGTCAATTTTGGAACAAACGTGCCCAGGATTTCTGGCTACGGGTTGCGCGGCTCATGGGCTCCGTTTGCTGATGAAGGACGTTCTCGGCTTTGATATTCTGAAGACTATCCTGAACGAGGCCAAGGAAATCGCACTATTCACCCGAAGTCACACGGCGACAAACTCACGATTCCGTACTATCCAACTATCTGATCGAGATGGCTGCCAACGTGGTTTGAAACTTCCGGTAGCGACGCGGTGGTTCTCAGCGTTTGAATGCATCAAGCTGGTAATGGAGAACGAGAAAGCGATCAGAGAGATATTTAACGACGAGGAGCTTCTCGACAAGTATGACAGCGGGACAATATCGCGCCTAGCTCTGCTTGTGGTTCCTGAGGTGTTCTGGGCGAAGGGCGCAGTGGCGCTTCAATTGCTGGAGCCAATTCACAAGTGCCTGGTCCATTTTGAAAGCGACCGACTGTGCCTTTCCGTTATTTATCAGCAATTTTTGGAGTTGAGCCGGCATCCTGTGTACAACACCAATGTTCCAGGAGTTGAAGATGATCTCCAGAGCTATATCAAAGCGCGGATTGATTATCGGTGGCAGTTTATCCCCAAGTCTGCCATGAGCATTGCCTATTTGCTCGACCACACCAAACCCACCAGCTTTTTGGTTGGTACAGGCAAGATTGACGCTATCTTGGCGATTTCAATGCTTGCTGCTTTACTGGGCTACAACGAAGCGAAGCGAGTGAAGCTCGAGAACGAGGTGACTGACTTTTTGACGCACAAAATCAATTGGAGTGATGAAACCCGGGCTATTTATTACAGATCGTCTCCGTCAAAGTGGCGGTCATGGGAAGCACGCGATCAGTATCCACTGCTAGCACCGATTGCTGAAGGATCTTCGCTATTCCGACTTCATCGGCGGCATCAGAGCGGTCATGGAGTATTTTAAAATTTATTCATACGGCGCGCCGGAACCGTTTAAGCAACGACAGGGTGATCAAGTTGGCTTTTATCTACTCGAATCACGGACTGAAGGACGCAGTGGGACCTATAATTTTTGATTCAGTGGTTGATCTTGTCGATGGGTCAAGTTCTGCTCCACGTAACCCCGATGGCCCCGTCAGCGAAGAGGTACAGGAGAGTATTCGCGAGATGGAGCGTTTGGTGGGGATTACGGATGATGTGCTGCCAGACGACATGCTGACAGACGAATCCAATTGCCTCAGTGACGCACGTATTTTTGATGGGGCTCATTGGGGTGACGATTGCAGCTCTCCGAATCCTCTGGATCCCCCCCCGCATGGACTCGCCGCGGGCTTCAGTTGCTAAAGTAGAGCAATAAACCGCTCAAGCGTAATTTATCATGATATTTTGAGTTTGAAATGCGCTTTTTGCTATAGCTTTGGTGATGCATTAACCCCGAGATGAATATGATGCATGCATCAAATTATAAGATACGTGCATCTTAATCGGGGTCGCTAGGATGCAGTGCATCAAACCAACAGTACATATGACAATTTCATACAAACTTTTATATTAAACTATCGAAGGCCGCGCGTGCGGGTAGGATTGCAGCCATGCTACCCGTACGCATTCGACCTGGAGACAAAAGGTTAAAACTGTAGATACCAGATATCAACCGGCAATGCTTTACAAAATTAGACATGTGGATGAGATCTGTTTGCTGCTTGTAGCAATTTTCGACTTGAAAATGCAAATGCTCATCTCTACCGTCTTACCCCGCATAGTACACATGGGCGTACTAATAAAAAACCACAGTAAAAACTCCAACGTTAAACCCTCGATCATAGCGCATAGCCAAATAAATGGACGGTAACCGCGATAAGGATTTTACCAGATGAAGCGACAGCCATTGCTAATACAGCCGCTCTAGTAAATTGGCTGGACCAACTACTCCCTGGGACCTCGGTTGGCCGGTCGGTACAAGCGACTGTTGCTCAAGTGTGACCCGGTGGAGCTCTTTCAGGAAATCGAGCGAGAGTACAATGCTGGCAGTGCCGCTAAAAACGACATCCTGATCAAGGCAGCCATGTTTGCTCGCAAATTGGTTATGGGGGAGCGCGTTGATACGTTCATCGATGAGATCATGAAGCCACAGGATGATGTGACGCTCGGCTATGAAGTTGACGACCCTGAACTCGCTCGGCTGTTGCTGACCAACTCGCTGGAGGTGTTTCCTGATCTCAGTAACAAGTCGGTGGCAGCTAGGATGAAGCGGGAAGTGTTAGAAGTCGGAAAGGTTCGTGGACGACTCTTGGCCCGCGAGCAAGAAGAGACTATGCGTGGGTCGGGCCCCAAAGTGGCGCGAGGTGAGCAGAATCCTGCCCCTGCCCAGCGTGAACAGACGGCAGTTTTCCAGTTCTCGAGTGGGCAATACAATGACAATGGTGGTGGGCGGAAGAACGGAGGAGGGCATCGGTCCAATCACGGGTCGTTCAAGCCGCATCGGCGGAACTCGCTGCAGGGAGCAATGCAGCGCAAGCCCTGCTCCAACTGCGGTAAGCTAGGCCACTGGCACCGCGACTGTAAGCAGAAAGCTAAAGGAGCTCATGGTCACTCGGGGTCCTCTGGCAACGGAGGCTCGCAACCGCGACATGGAGGCAGTAGCGGTCGGCGTCATGCAAGTCCAGGTCCCTCAGCTCTAGTGGCAACTGTACAATGAGCACACAATCAAGTTAAGTCCGATGTAGTCGAGTGGTGCTTCTACAGTGCAGCGACCATCAACGTCTGCAATGATCTTACCTATTTTTCGGATATTGCAACAGTGAGCGACGGCCCTATGATGTCCTGTGCAAGCAGCAGTCTGGTCAGTCTAAATCAAGTTGGATCAGTGGAGCTTTATATCGTCAACGAGCTGACAGGTCAGCAAGTGAAGCGCTTACTTTCCGATGTTTACTATCTCCCTGATGCCCCCGCCAATTTGCTGTCGCAAGATTACATGCAGACCGGCAACGTCTTGCTCCAGATGTGCGGGGCCTGCTTCAACCCGTAGAGCGACTTATTTAGGCGGCATATCTGCTGATTTCAGTGCTTTGTCGACTGCAAGTAGCGCAACACGCGCTTCGCTTGGCCAAAGTGGACCACAGTAAAACAAGATAGGAACTGGCCAAGTCGCCTCACGACATGCGCAATATCTGACCTTGAGCCTGACACGAGATATTGGAGTGCTCCGATAATTTCACGATAAGGGGCATCAGCTACTTCTGCTTCAGCATCACCTACTGCATCAGGTTCAGCAGTTGTGGCCTCTGGTGTAGCTGATCCGTGACACTCGTGCATGTGAAACCTCCACAGAACTTCTTCCATGTAGCTAGTCTGGCTGTAGAAAACTCGCCGTTTGTCCCAGTCAATGCTGACCTCAACGCCTAGGAGATATTTAACCGGGCCGAGTTCCACCAGCTCCAAACTCACAGCCAGTTTGCGAGCAACGTCTTCACAGCGAACATTCTCCCCATCAGCAAGAGATCATCTATATATGGTGAGGAGCATGACTATCCCCCCCTCTCGTGCAGAGCATAAAGGTCATGATCACTTTCCGCCCGTGTAAGCCCGAGAGCAACAAGGTGGCTATACTCAGACGAACGGCTATACGCCGCAGGAGAATGGAATAGTTAAGCGTGCAAATGGGATAGTGCTGCCCGAGGTCAGAGCGCTGCTGCACATGACGAATATGCCGGACATGCTGTGGGGTGAGGCTGCACAGCATGTAGTCTACACGCTCAACGTCACGGCAACACGTGTGCTGAACGGACTCACTCCTCATGAGAAGTTGTCTGGTGAGAAGCCTGACGTTTCCTGCCTAAGGGCCTGGGGCTGCTTGTGCTACTACCACATACCGAGCGGGTCACGGTCCAAGAAAAAAAAGTTGTCCTCCAGGATGGCTGCTTCGATTCTCGTAGGGTATTCGCCGGCGACGCATGGCTACAAAGTTTTGGATCTGTCTATACGAGCTGTATCCACGCATCGCAGTGGTAATTTGGTTTTCACTGAAGATTATACTGTGGGTCGTTTGTATGTGGAGCAATTGCTGTCCAATGCTTACCAGCACGGAGATCACGCTCTTCCCCCTCGGGCACCATTAGTTCCGATGCTGATGCAGATTGAAGATGTGGTCAAGCTCGACGCAGTCAATGAGAGTGTGTTGGTGCAGCCTGCACCGATCTCTGATACCGCACTTGTACCAGACAGCGCCCGCTCCACTCCGAGTGCGGCAATTGCGGAGGTTAATGGGGCTGCAAAATCGGCTGGGGTTAACTCAAGTTCCCAGAACCCTGCAGTAGCTGATAGTGATACTGTTCGTCGGCATCCAGTGCCCAGATCAGGTCGAAAACGGAAGCGAAGTTCTCGTCTTGATGGTTGTGAGGTGTTCTGTGCGTCAACCAAGTTGGTTAAAGCGTGGCTGGCTGAACTAAAAGTACCTCATCGTCTACATGCGCGTGATGTACCCATTCCTGCAACGTACAAGCAAGCTATCCGGTCTCTACTTGCGGCTTACTGACAGGCAGCAATTAATGAAGAGCTGGAATCCTTGCGGCGGCACGGTGTTTGGCAAGTTGTTGAGCGCCAAGCGCTGGTACATCAGGGGTCATATCCAATAAGTGGGTGTTCTCTGTGAAGAAGGACGAGCATGGGTATGTGAAGCGTTTTAAGGCCCGGCTTGTAATTCACGGGTTCAAGCAGCGTTTTGGAGTGAACTACAACGAAACGTTTGCCCCCGTCATTCGATATGACACGATTCGACTGGCGATTTAGTTTGCAGTGCAGCGGAAGTGGTCAATTCTGCAGCACGACGTTAAAACTGCTTTTCGTTATGGTAAACTATCTGAAGTGGTGTTTATAGAGCTACTGCAAGGATGCGGATCGCCCGGGGCTAAGCATGGTCGTTGGAGATCCAGGAGAGGCGAAATTGGTGTGGCTGGAGGCGTATAGCGATGCTAACTACGCCAACGACAAAGATGACCGCCAATCTGTCAGCGGGTATGCTACCATGATAAACGGGAGTGTCATCTCGTATGGTCCCCGTAAACAAGGCCTCAACGCTCAGAGTACAATGGAGACTGAATATATCGCGATGAATGAAGGCGCCCGCGACGTAATGTGGCTCAGTGGGCTTTGTGATGAACTCAAATGGAAGTACAGCACGCCAACGCTTTGGTGCCACAACACGGCCGCCATCGCACTGTCAAAGAAACCGGGCAAGCACAACGGAAGCAAGCATATTGAAAACCGGTTCCATTATGTTCGCAATCTCGAAGATCGAGAAAAATTATCGGTGAAGCACTGCGGCACTGAGCACATGATAGCGGGCATTTTGACGAAGCCATTCGCCCGTGTCAAACTTCAGTATTTTCGATCCCTACTTGGCGTTGTTCCTCGCGATGAACAAGGGGGAGCAGAGGACGGGATCAAGCAACCAGCTGAAGCTGCTACAGCTTGGGTGATGATCAAGGTCACGTCTGACGAGCGCGAGCGTCTCGCGTGAGGATTCTCGCAAAGCTATGGCATGCCGCGAGGTTTGTGTGAGCGTCATGGATACCACGAAATTCGTGGTCACCCGGGAAGTAAAGTGCACGATGGTCGTGTGACGAGCGGTGAGGTTCACCGCAGATAACGCGACGTTCGCGTATCCAGACTCGAGTATTGTGCTACGATGTTCGTACTAGTGACGTGAGGAAGGGGGAGCGTCGGAGTTCCCTCGATGTTCTTATGCTCACGTCTCACTAGTGGATCCCAACTTCGATAAGATACAGAAGCATAGACTATTTATAATGCAGGTAGGATCAGTGGGGGCACGGCACTTACTGGCGAGGAGAGACTGAGTCACTTGTGAAAGCTCCATCTCCTCACCAAGCTACGTACCCAAAGATCTCGGAGGCGTTTGCCCCGCCTGGCAGCGTTCTAGTCAATTAATTCCTCTGATCTTAGCTCAACGAATTTCCACCATGTGAGTGATTTCCGATCCTTACATCAATTTTGTGCCTTTTCACGCCCGGGTTGCGATTTCATGGACTGTTGAGCAGCAAACAGTGCTCTAGTAACAAATGCCCCAAAGTGCACACCCCAACAAGTAATGTAAACAATTGCGCAATTTGAAAGTACCGACCCTGAAGCTTTGGCTGTGGCCCCTAAACATGACACACTTCCAGTGCAATACAGCACGAGGATATCATTTTCTCCAACATCCTTGATCTTTGCAGCCTTCAGCGCAGGAAATAAGTTTTCCATCGATGCACCTTTGAACATCGTGAAAATACCCTCTATTGACGTCTTCGACGCACCGAAATGACTCGTCGGGTCTAGCTCGATATAGAAGCACGTAGTCACTCGAGCCTAGACCACACTTGCATTTCACGCGTTGAAATCTACCACTTCTTGAGTTCGTATGCTTTGCAGCCTAAAACAAAAACTTGTGGGGAACACCTTTCACAAGACGATGGCACTCCAAACTAAAATGCGCTCCATGATGCACGTATTCCCGGCTCACCAAGGGGTCATTGGCATAAGCCATCGACTTCAAGGCATAAATGTTGAAAACAAAAACGTCCCCAGATCTCTCTCAGTGCCCAATCATCGCAGTTTTCATTAGGTACGAGCTGATTGGGATCATGCCAGAGAGTAGCTGACGAATCAATCATCAAGTTCAGTATGTAGGGGCACTCAAAAAAAGATATTCCGTTTCTGAACAAATGGTCTCGTCGAGAGTAGTAGCTTCAAAACGGGAGGTCCAAAAAATGACACGTCGACCAATAACCGCTAGAAACGCTTCTCTTATTCCTTCACCCTGAATGTTAATTTTTGGATAAGCTTCTTACATAGCTGAAACCACGAGCCGAAGCTCCAATGCAGGACCAACTGGGGTTTTCGTTTCAAAAACAGCCATAACTCGATAGAGCTGTTCCAGAGTTCGTCGAAAGCCGCCCATAACACACGTGAAGCGCAGGACTTGTTGCTTCCGTCGTCGATGAGTAGTTGTATCAACTCTCCGCTTTTGAACACTTCAAAAACATCCTTTACTCGGCTCTGGGGTCGCCCCAGCGTTGTGGTGGTCAGCTGAATAACACGTTGAGTCACGACAGAATCAAACATCGGCTTAGAAACCGTCAATGAAGCATCCAATGACACAAATACTTAGGCTCATTCACGATATTGCAAACACAGTGTAGAACGTTGTGTAGTTCTGACTCATTAGAGTTTGTATCGCAATGAAGCTTTTCCAGTCCATCCACAGTCAAATAGACGCATGTTTTTTCAAGAGGTTCGTCCCTGACTCGTGCCAACAGCGAAATAACATCATCTGGAAACACATGATGCGTCGGGTCTTGGACGAATTGACTCCATTCCAGTTTAGCCTGTAGCTAGTACAGCATCCGCCTCCCAATTAAACGTGCCGCATCACGTCTTTCCGAGCTACTACCATACGTGATGTGGAAGGTGAACGAGCTCTGCAGCATGTTCACCAATGCTTTGCCAGTACTTTCTGAACTACTGCAATCGAAAAGAATTTCCTTCAGAAGTCGCGGAAACTCCGTCCGAACCCGACATTTCCCTCTACTAGGCCCTCCCATGCAAAGAAAATGCGGGTGATTTTGCTTATCGCGACTTCCATCATTCCAGGAACGATAGTGGCTTATGATTTCGGGCGTAATATCACCGTGTATATCCGAGTCAAATGTTTTTGAAAGTCCCTTTATGCTCCAATTGATATCACCAATGTCTTGGGAGGCCGTAGCGAAAGTTTTGTAAAACCCACTTTCACAAGCACATGGGTTTCTCCTAGGCAAGACTTAAATCAACGGGAAAATGGTCGCCCACGCCACTGAACAGGCTGAAAACTGGGTAGTTCAGATCACTTTCGCCACTCTTTGCGTCTTCACCTCGAGGCCCCGACAGCCACGCGTCGTGCTTGCGCGCCAAGAAGAATGTTAACAACACAATGAAAATCCCCCGACGCAACTCACCAGCAATTGCATTCCGCAACTCCATCGCGCTTGCATCGCGTGCAACCTTCACTGTACGCGTGCTGTTCTGCCCGTATAAAGCACACACGAGATCGATGTCCATCTTGGGATTTTGGATTATGCAGCAAGAACCTACGATAATATGAATTGAGCTTTCGGCCTCGTTTGACCCATTTGATTGATTGATTGTCTTTTTCCTACCTTGTACTGAGGCATTTCTGTCAACGATTGCTGAAGACTATTAACGATCGGTGTGGGAGTAAGGATGATAATACTGGCTTGCAAACCAAAAGCTAAGAACCAGCATGGTCCAGGTCCTGGCGGCAGTTAACAATGGCGGGGTCGTCGAGGTGAAAAATGGACAGGCGCTACGGTCGCGGGTTGTACACCAGGATTTCCCGAAAGGCAATTGCAATGCTCACCCGGGAGCTCGTCCAAGCTTCTTTTATTGTTGCGCTTATGGACGCAACCTTCTTGCACGTCTACCCAGGATGTATTGGAAACCGAGCACAGGGTTCATAGCTTCAAACGGTAAGGTTCGATCCCAGAAATTTGATTATGTTCCGTGGGGATCTTGCCCATGCGGGGACCACTTTGTTGTACCAACGACCATTTGCATTACTACGTCGGGCTCCGGGATATCCCGCAGGAATCTGATTCTACAGGGACATGTTTGCACCGATTAAATAGCTGCACTACGCTGGCCTACTCTTGCGCTGGCCTATCGGAACAAACGCCAGGTGTGTCTGCTGAGTGAAGGGCCGTATCGCTGCACACAAAAATGGCAATAGATAACCCACCGATGGCTTCCATGTCGATTCCAACGATAAAGGAAATGTTAACACGGAAATAATTGAGGAGAAATCCCGCATCCGGCTGGTCGGAAAGTGCATTTTTTTTTCATTTCTGCTCGCGCCAAGAACTTCCGGTAGCAAGACGACTGTGGCTGCCCTGGCACACTAAACGCCTGCTCGCGAAAAGGCTATGGCTGCGCTGACGCATGAGAGGACAACGACAGGCAGGACTGTGAGAGAACGACGGCAATGCCTGTGTGGATATTTAGGCTACGTGAGCTGCGTTGAGGGTTTCCGACTGAAATAGAAATGGCGGATTTGATTGAAGAGTTACGTACACTTGGACCGAAAGATATGTGAAGTACCTGGAGAATCGCGTACAACAGAAGCTGGGAGCGTCTGGCGATCGCTACGCCGATGATGGTTTTCCTGGGACCGAGCTGTGACCAGCAAGCCCCTGGCGCTATTGATTTCCGAAGCATTCAACGATGTGGCTGGGTTTCGGGGGCAGTGTCGGTTCCCCCAGAGCCCAGCGCATATCAATCCGATGCTACGTGCGGAAGGCATGAGACGATTCATTTTCTGTGGCGCTGGAGACTATGGGAAGTTGAGCTGCCAACCTCCGGCGACCAGCTAACAACGTTGTTTCACGTATATCGGACATATATCATCTTTCCAATAGAGGAAGCTCACGTGTACACGTTTGAGACATGTCTGAAATGTGGTTATGCCTTTGGAGGCGATAGCAACAGTACACCTTTCGCTAATGACCGACACCCCTATATTGAAGCCAAGTGTACAAAACGTGGAACGGTTTGTATCAGGCAGACCGCCACACAATCAATTCGCTACAACCTATTGTGAATAATGCACCTCGACTATAGAATGAGGCCCTGCTCACACTAGCATTAAGAATTTGGCCTTCACAGAAGCAGGCTTCGAGCAAGATGAATGAGCTCGGCGGCCTCGGTGACTTCGAGTCGGCTGCTGCCGGATCTGCCGTCGCCAAGCATCCCGATGGCGTCGAGCTGGCTGCTGTAGCTATGTGCACGATAAATCTACCGACCGAGGTCACCTCACAAAGCGCTGTCAGCGTTGCAGATCGCCCAAGCGCGCCGTCAACGGAGCTCGACGCAGAGTCGCCAGCCCGCGGGGCAAACCAGGACGAATGGGAGCTGCCCTGCCTCAACGAATCTGTCTTCTCCAGCCCAGAGGAAGCAAAGGACGTCTTGAATCGCTCCGCTTACCAGCATGGGTATGCCCTCATCAGCGCCCACACGTCGTTCAGGAAGCAGACGCGAGAGCGCCGGCGAGTCGTCTTTGCATGCGATAGACATGGATCACGTCGCGTCCACAACAAGGCTGGGCCTGACAAGCGCCGCAGTTCTCGTCGCTGCGGCTGTCGTATGCAGGTCAGCGTGGAGCATATTGCCGATGAGGGTGGAGCGGAAAGGTGGGCAATTCGGCATCGCGATAGAACCCT